GTTTTTTAAATGTAATTTAATATATTTTTTTAAATGTATAAACATTATAATAATTTTCTCATATATCCCTACTAAATTGGACTAAATCATTTAACTTTTCAACTCACTTGCTTAACCGGACCAACCGCGGACTATATACTGGTTTGACAACCTTGAGATATGATTGAAGAGAAAAGTTTTAGAAAAAATAAATAAAGAAAAGGGATTTGATTTGATCTGCCTCTAGTGCCAATAATAATGAATCCAAAAAGAAAATATTGAGAGAGAGAGAGAGAGGCACTTTGGCAGTGAGGTCCCTGTCACGTGGACTGCCCTAACAAGGCCGGCACCGCCCCCTTCTCTCGTCCCTCCGCTTCTTCATTCATTTCTTTTCTCTCTCTCTCGCAAAGTGATCGTATTAAGAGATAATAATTACTAATTAGTCACTCCCTAATTGAACTCATTATTTCGACCAAGGTATATAAGTTAACATTGAACCAAGCCAACTGGCAACAAAGTTTTAGAGAGAGATTATATTAATGGTCATTTATCACATATTATTATTGTCTATAATTAGTTATCACCTTATACAAGTGTGGTATAAGGTGATGTATTGGTTCTGAAATGTTTTTTTCTAACAATTTATATATCCAACAAATCACAATGTACTTGTTCATTCTAAGCAAAATTATTCAAAATTCATGTTAAAAACTAAGATGGTATCGGGTGGTAACGAGTGATATAGATAATATGAGTTTTTTTTTCTCCCTCAAAATATATTGAAATAATCTAATTTAGTAGTCCACCCTATTAATCGGGCCACTCTTCAAATAAATTGTCCAAATCGGATTATGCAAAGATAGTGCACACTATGGTTATTAATCCTATCGATCTACATTGGCGCAGATAGCTAGGTTATTTCCAGGAGGTGCTATAGCCCCTCTCAACTTCAAAATACTGATAAAATTACATATAAAATTCGTACAAATTTAGAAAAATAGACTAATCAATAAAGACTTAGTTCCTCTCTCTCTTCTCCAATTATCACGATCTCGTATCAGTATCAACCCCTCATTCAGATTTCTACCTCCGATACGAACTATCTTGGACCAATACCCATACTACGGACTGCATGCATGCGAGGAAGCCACGTAGCGAAGTGGGGTAGGAGAGGACTTAGGATGATCATCCACTTGGCAGATGGCGAGGCAAATCCTGTCATTTCGTGGAGGAGGAGGATATCATAATTAAATAATTAATGACCTACTTACTGCATTATTATTCCTCTATAACATCGATTACGATTAGAAGAAGAAAAAAAAGGCAGGCTCCACCAAGTAGCTAGCTAGTGTGTGAGGATTAATTAATTAATTAAGTGTCCCTTTCGCAAGCCAGCCTCTCTCATTCATCGTCAACCTCAAATATGAAATAACGGTGTTACCATTGATTCTTAACAAACAGTTAGCTCCTAATTCCTCTTATCCATGGAAATTAAGGTACTGCTGCTGGATCGCTTAACTATATATAGTAATCGATCGGCTTCCAACGAGCCTCTTATCCATCGACCAACTGCAAGTATGGTTAGGTCGACTCATATTCGTTTGTAATTTAAAAGAAAAACATTAAACATATTTAAATTTTCATTAAAAATAAAAAAGACAAACTATAATATGATAGGTATTGTTAAATTGTTTGAGAAATTGAGATTCTCACCCATTTATAACTTTATTATTATTGCTAAAATATAAGAAAATAAAAGTAAAATTACAAGTAGTTTGAGTAAAGTCACTTTTAATTTAGGCAAAACCAGTCAGAAAGTAGTCAGGAGCAGCCTTTAAGGTGTTCTAGGAGGACCTCTAGCACACGACCATGTATATTCATCATTAAAGTCGTATTTGTATTCTGAAAGCCCAATTTATGTTATAAATGACACAATAAATCCTTAACGAATTAAAGATTCTTGCATAATAAAAAAGAATATCTAAATTTATTTCAAATTTGTAAATAACAATGCTATGATCATTTTCAATATACTTAAAAAAATTGGACTAGTTTTCAATTCTAGGACAAGGCTTACCTAGTTCATGGGACGACCATGCTGGTGTATGATTAATTGATTATAATTTATTATAATGACTTTAGTTATGCCAATTAATATTAGTTCTAGTCATTGGTCAATATTCTCAAATATATATAGTTGGGAGCCAAAACTCCTGATTTTTTTAATAAAAAAAGGATAATTGATTGATAATGACAACGACTGTCAATGATCTCGTGAAGACAACGAAAATTAGAGACTAATAGATACTTTCATTTTTATAAAATAATAGGATTACATTTTAAATGAGGATTAGGAAATTGAAGATGAAACCCAAAACAAAAACAATTAATAGTGGCGGCCAAAATGTGTGCACTGCATGGAGATGATGAGAAAATTCCAAAGAAACATATGCATCTATACAGCTAATTAGATAGCGTATGGAAGAAAAGGGAGGGAGGGTAGTACTAGACTACTAGTACGTAGTAGTAGGGATGACAATGGGTAGGGTAGCAAGTAGCAACTCCAATTTATGGGTTTATCCGTAAAAAAATTTGTGGTAAAACTCATTGGATTTGGAAAACTCAAATCCAACCCAACCCGTTGGGTATTCGCGGGTTCATGGTTACTCATGAATTTTTGTGGTAAAAAATTTATAATAACAAATTCCTATCAAAATAAAATTCAAACATCATTACGTCAATTCCCCCTACAAATTATCCATACCTAAAACACCGGTCTAGAAAATTCAAACAAATCACAATTACACTAAATAGAAGCACGCAGAATAAGTGTGGTGAAAGTTAAATTGGGGGAAACTAGAATCAGGGTAGAGTTTGTGGATGATAGGGTGATGGAATAAGTTTGGGAGGGTACGTATCCATGGATCGGGTATCACTAAACCCAAATCCAACCCAACCCGCGATGAACACTGTAAGAGTTTAAAACCCGAAATCCGACCGGATTGAATCGAATAAAGTATCCGTGGGGTTCGCGTTTTGTTGTCATCCCTTTAAGAGGTAGTACTAGTAATATAGTGCCAAAATTTGCATGCCCTTCCCAACAGGTAAACCCCAAACGTCACATGACTACGTACATGACTCGCACCATCGTTGACAGTTGTGCCACTCTCGTCTCCATCATGCACACTCAGCAGTTTCTTTCCTTCTCATGCATTTCATTATCTCCTCCAATTTCAATTTGATCCATCACCTAGCAGCATATACTCCTCTCAAGCTGTCAAGCAAAGGAAGAAGGGAAAAAAAAAAAAAAAAGACAATTCCTGGCTGTTTCCTTCTTTCCTCTTCCAGGCGAGCGGGCGGGACAATCAATTTGCAATGGACACGTGTATGAGTAATGGACACGTGTACGGTGGACAAATCAGGACATTACGACTTGTACGTGATATTAGTTTATATATGCATCAGACGTACATGAACCCAATTCTAGTTCTAGTTTAACATTACATACCTTCTTCAGCTCTTCTACTACTGTAACCTGTAGGACCGGGGGGGTTCCATCATATCAATCATGAGTGATATAAATGCACTACTGTTCGGGATCCGGACACGTGTACGGTTCTGATGGTTGTGTATACATCGATCGTGAACGCGATTGATGTTTATTCCTTGTATCTACAAAGGCTTATCATCGTCCTATACCATAAAAATAATACTTACCCATGCTTAACACAATAGGAGGAGAAGCCCTAGTTTTGACTATGAATGATAATGGATCGACTCGTTGGATAATTTGTCACAATTGTCGCGAATCACATAAGTTTTGGGATCATATTCGAATAAAATCCATATGCACTGTTTTAAAAATTTAGGTTCAATTTGAATTGAACTCAATTTACCTCAATTTCATACAATTAATTCTCCATCATAAAAAAAAAATTATTCTCACGAAAAGTCACATTTCAAAGCTAAACAATACGGGTAAGTAGAGGTAGTTAAGTTGGTAAGTTGAACAAAAGGGGCAACCCCAACGAGTAACGACAGATCTATCCGAAAACACTTTACCACTAGATAATGTTGTGGTTGGGGGAAAAAGTTGTAGGGGCAGTTTTGTTAAACCATAAATGTTTAGTGACTGCCCCACTTTACATTTCACTTAGGGATGGCAACAAAACCCGAACTCACGGGTTCCCACTCGATCCAACCCGGTCAACGCGGGTAAAACCCGTGTTGACGGGTTTTGGGCCGGGTTTCGGTTTAAACTCGCTACACTATTCACCGGGTCTGGTTGGGTTTGGGTTTAGGTAAACTCGCCCCATGGGTACCCGCCCACACACATATAATTACTTTCCCGGTATATTTAATACTCAAAATAATATATCTTCTTTATTCTTTATGTTTGTGGAGACATATATAATTTGTTGTGTCTAATTGTTTAGAATGAAGTTGATATTATGAAGTGGAGAGTGAAAAAACTTAGTTGACAAGTAAGAAGCTTTCAATTAATCTTATTGTTTATAGATGTTTATCTTTAATTTTGAACAATTTGTATTGATCATTTGAGGTTTGCTTGTATGCTCTAAATTGGTGTTTTTTGTATGAATAATTTGTATGAGAAAATTAATGTTAAACTTTTATTTTGAAAGAAACTTGTTATTGTAAAATTTTTACCACAAAAATCCACGGGTACCCATGAACCTACGGATACCCAGCGGGTTGGGTTTGAGTTTTTCAAACCCAACGAATTTTACCCCGAGTTTTTTGGGCGGATAAACCCATATGTTTGGGTTTGGGTTTAACAAAACCCACCCCAGCCCGACCCATTACCATCCCTAATTCCACTTCCTTTCCACCCCCTATGCCTGCCTTTATAAGTGCCTGCCACCGTTGAGTCGAGAGTAAGGTACCTCGAGAAAGTTGCATTGCATTCACCTCCCCCAATTTTTCCCCTCTCAAAGAACCAAACTCTTCATTTACTACAAGAAAACACCCCAAAATTTTTTTAACCTTTCTAGTGAGGAGAAATGGAGAAGGCGGCGACGAGCTTGTCGGGACTGGTGCGGACGAAGTCGGACCAGCTGGTGGAGGCGTTATCGGCGGCGTTCAAGTCCCCGTCGCCGTCCTCGTCAGGGGAGCCCGTGGCGGCGACTGCTGCTGCCACATCGGAGAGCGTCGGCGTCGGCGGGGGGCCGTCGAGGAAGTCGAGCAGGAGGGCGTCGCCGGGAAACAGGAGCGGCGGCGGCGGCGGGGGGAACAAGAACGCCCACATCCGGAAGTCCCGGAGCGCGCAGATGAAGTTCGAGGTGGAGGAGATGATCAGCAGCGGGGCGGCGCTCAGCCGAGCTTCCAGCGCCAGCTTGGGCCTTTCCTTCTCCTTCACGGGATTCAACATGCCGCCCGACGACGTCATCGCCGATTCCAAGCCCTTTAGCGACGACGATATCCGTAAGCTAGCCGTCACGCAAACTCTCTCGCTATATATATATATTTTGTCATTAATTTTACGTTCATCTCACTTTTAGCGACGAAAACAATTATCCAACTGATCATAACAAAAGGGAAATATTGTTAAAAAAAAGACTATATATATATATAACGAGGTTTTTAAGAAAAAAAAGTGTATCTTCAAATGAATATATTTTAGGAGTAGAAATGGTGTGGGAAATTAATAGCATGGCAATTTCAGCTAAATACTTAAATTTAATCCACAATTGCAAAACTTATTATATACCTATTGATTACAGTTTTTTTTTCTTTTTCTTTTGGTTTCTCCTATTTGCTTATACGGACTCCGTTTCTTGTTTCTGAAGAATTGTGACCAACGATCGTTAAAATCGTATCGAGAGCTATACTGAAAAAAAGAGCGGTATGATACTTTGTATTGGAATCGTAGTTTAACTGTTTTCATATCTCTAAAATTGTTTATCAATTTAGCCTTCGATAGAAAATTTTCTGGTCGAACCGCGAATATGATACGATTTCACAGTGACCTCTAATTTCGTAGGGCATCGGTTGAGAATTATTGAAATACTAAGAGGTTGAGCAATAACTTAATTAATTATGATTCATGGGAGTTTAAAATATATATATATATATATATTGGAGTTATTTATTAAGGGGTATGGGCATGAAAAGGAAACTCAAAAATGATTTGTGGGAAGAATGAGATTAATTGTGGAGGGAAAATGGGTGGTGGAGGTCGGAGGATGAAAAAAAAAAAAAAAAAAAAAAGCGAGTATGTGAGGTTTAGGATGGAAGCAGCATGACAAAGACAAAGAGGAAAGGCGGATTTGAATCTTTCAATCAACTACGTAACAACTAATGCATTCAACAACACCAACCAACCCCACCTCTTGTAATTAACTCTCATCATCTCCTTTTTCTTGGCACACTCAAGGATTGAAAAACCGTATCGGAAAAGTCAGCGATAAGGTATTTTATGCTAAAATAGTGATTTAATCATGATTCAACTGTATTATAACGCTAAATACCGCCTACCAATTTTACTTCCGATAGAAGGTTTTTCAGGTCGAACCGCCGATACGGTACGGTATTTTAATCCTTGGTCACACCTAGATATGAATAGGATGAGACTATACATATTGGCACTAAAAATCTTCATAACAAAAAATTCCAATTTAATCCGACCGTGAATAAGTGTTCTTCGTCATAAAATAAAATAAAATAAAATTTGAAATTAATCTCAACAAATTTTCAAGGGATTGGTTTAAGAGCAATGAGTAGCTCCCGCTGATGGTGAGAGTTTTCACTATCACTTTCAGGCAAGTGTTAAATTATATTTTAGAAGAATGAATGATTGAGGGCTTTGTTTTCTGACTTTTCTTGGGCCCCCAACCCATATGGACCAAGCAATTATTTGGAGTTGGGCCCAACATAGTAGGCTGGCTGACTGACTGGCATGTCCATTTCCAACCACATCACCCCAATCTTCCTAAAGTCCTAACAAATTGGAGCAATTTCCAAGACATGCTCTTCTTTCTTAATTCTTTTCCTTCTCACTTCACTTATTAAAGATTTGACCTACTCAATTATTTATTTATTTATTTATTTATACAAGTATTTGTATACTTCGTATGATATTGGTTTAATTGATTGGTGTTGTGCCATGAAAAAAGAAGGCTTTAGTATCAATATAAGACACAAGACAACCTTTCACTTTATTAACACTAGATATGCCCGTCACTTACGCTTCGCGTCGGCGAGTGGAAGATAAGACGGTAAATGTGTCATTAGGAAATAATTAGTAAAATATAACTAATACTAACGTAATTTCAAGAACGGCAAGAAAGTTTACAAAGATGTCGTGGGAGAGGTACGTAGTACCTCTTGTGATTTCGTTGCTACTGAGACCACTTGTGCAGTTGTGCCATCTTCGATATGAAGTGAGAGGTTTCTCCGTGGTCTTAGTATTTGAACTCGAGTGAGAGAGATGACCAATAATGGAAATTCAAATACGGACAAAGAGGTCAATTTTAGGACAACAACAAAAAATCCGCATAGTGAATTGTAACTCACATTAGAAAATTTCTCTGTGGTTTTGCTATTTGAGCTTGAGTAAGGGAGAGCTGATTAAGTGTACAAAATCAAATACGAACAAAGAGATTGATTTTAGCACAACAACAAAACACGCTTAATGAATATTAACACATATTAGAAGATAGCTTGATAAATAATAACACAAATTATGATATATGAATAAAACCAAATACGAAAAAAATCAATTTCGACATAACAACAACAAGAACAATATACGCCTAATGAGTAATGAGTAGTAACGTATATGGAGATTGCCTAGTATTAGGAGTTGGAGAAAAAAACTCAAAATAATCTCAAAATGACTCATAAAGTGGCTTCCACCTTTCCCAAGTTTAAATTAAGTACAAAAATACCTCTTAATGAATAGTTAATTATCTCTTTATATCAATTTGAAGATAGTAATAACCAAAAAAAAAAAAAAACCAAAAGATAAAAGAGAATTGAAAAAACTCATAAACTACTCTCCTTCTTCTTCTTGTCATGTGTCCTCCTTCTTCTTCTTGTCATGGGACCAAACTGACGACGAGGAAAATATTGAATGATTGGTGTGATGGGAAAATATCTACAGACTTCATGGTTCCAATGCTAGCTCTTTCACTGAGATTAACATTCCCATTCTGCTGAATATTTGGCATAGCCATTCTTAACCAAAAGAAAGCTATCAAATGGTTTGTGCAGCTGAAGATATCGAGGCTGGAATCGGAAAGCCCAAATTCCAGACAGAACCCACCTTGCCAATTTATCTCAAGGTCACACTTCTACTCTTCTCTTCTTTGGTCAGATGTGGTAATTGATTCAAGCACAGTTGTATTTTTGGACAGGCAAAAGTTGGGGGGAGTTTTTATATGTATTGGCAGAAACTGGGAATTTTGCTTCCTTCCTACCCAATGCCAACTAAGATACCATTTCATGCCCACTTGAATTTCCTTCAGGTTCATGTCTCATTGTCTTGCCATTGTACTACAAACCGCGTTTTATCGCACTCTCTCCGATCATTCATCGTTATAATGTTCGAGACGGCCCCTTCTTTCCATTGAACTTGTTCTGCAGCTTGATTTTTGGTGGGTTTCTAGACCCAATTTTTTAGTCCTTTTGAGTTCAGCTGCAGTCAAGGAAAGAAGGGTATGCACTGTCTTTTCCCCCTTGCCATGTTTTCAAACCTTAAAAAGTATCCAGTAGTCTCCTGAAATTGTTTGCAAGGAAATCTTGAAATGCTGACCATTTTAATGGAAATGATGATTCTGCAGTTCACTGATGTGACATACAAAGTGGTGATCAAAGGGATGACTTCAACACGGGAGAAAGACATCTTAAATGGGATCACAGGCTGTGTCAACCCTGGTGAAGTTCTTGCTCTCATGGGGCCTTCAGGAAGTGGGAAAACCACACTTCTCAACCTGCTGGGCGGCCGGTTGAACCAGTCCAATAACCTGGGTGGCTCAGTCACTTACAATGACCAGCCTTACTCCAAGTCCCTCAAAAGCAGGTTAAGTTTTTAAACAAGAATATGTTCAAACTCTCTCAAGCCTTTCAACCCATCAGGAAAAATTCTGATAAAAACCCATTTTCTTACTTGCTTTCTCACAGGATAGGATTTGTGACTCAGGATGATGTCTTGTTCCCTCATTTAACCGTGAGAGAAACACTGACATATGCTGCCCTTCTACGACTACCGAGTTCGCTAACTCGAGAAGAGAAGACGAAACGAGCAATCGACCTTATCCAAGAACTCGGCCTGGAGAGGTAGCCATATCAGTGCTTCCACAAAACCTGATGAAACTGTTTCAACATTTTGTGGGCTAGAGCTAGACTAACCTTCCTGACTGCTACACTACATTGCTCGAATTTTGGCAAAACATAACCTTACTGCTACATTCACTACAAGAAACACTTGAAAAGTTGTTCACTTTTTTCAATTTGGACCACATAACACAGATGTCAGGACACAATCATCGGCGGCTCATTCGTCAGGGGAGTCTCCGGCGGGGAGAGGAAACGAGTCTCCATCGGAAACGAGATCATCATCAACCCTTCCTTGCTCTTCCTCGACGAACCAACCTCCGGATTGGACTCCACCACCGCGCTGAGGATCGTCCAGATGCTGCAGGAAATTGCAGAGGCAGGGAAAACGGTGATCACCACAATTCACCAGCCGTCCAGCAGGCTGTTCCACAAGTTCGACAAGCTGGTGCTTTTGGGGAAAGGAAGCTTGCTCTACTTCGGGAAAGCGTCAGAAGTGATGGCATATTTCTCGTCGATCGGATGTAACCCTCTCCTGGCAATGAACCCTGCCGAGTTTCTTCTTGATCTAGCTAATGGCAACATAAACGATGTCTCTGTGCCTTCGGAATTGGAGGACAAAGTTCATGTGGGGAATGGTGAAGCTGAGACCAGAAATGGGAAGCCGGCTCCTGCAATTGTTCATGAGGTAGGAAAATGATTTCTATGGGCTGCTCCATTGTAGTAATCTTTGCTGAATCTGACAGTGGAGTGTATTTTCAATCAGTATCTAGTGGAGGCCTACGAGACACGAGTTGCGAAGAGGGAAAAGAAGAAGCTTTTAGCTCCCATACCACTAGATGAAGAAGTGAAGCTGAAAGTCTCATCTCCCAAACGGCTGTGGGGAGCAACCTGGTGGGAGCAGTACACTATACTGTACTGCAGAGGGATCAAGGAGCGCCGCCATGACTACTTCAGCTGGCTGAGAATCACACAGGTGGTCTCGACTGCAACCATTTTGGGCTTACTGTGGTGGCAGTCTGATACCAGCTCTCCCAAAGGACTCCAGGATCAGGTAAGAAAAAGCAGAAGCTTGGTCTTTTTTTTTTTTTTTTTCTTTTGTGAAAATCAAACATTCAGGTGAAAATGGTTTTCTGCAGGCGGGGTTGCTGTTCTTCATTGCTGTGTTCTGGGGGTTCTTTCCAGTTTTCACGGCGATCTTCACATTCCCTCAAGAACGTGCGGTGTTGAGCAAGGAGAGATCAGCTGATATGTACAGGCTGAGTGCATATTTCATGGCCAGAACTACAAGTGATCTTCCACTTGACCTGGTTTTGCCAGTTCTGTTCCTTCTGGTGGTGTATTTCATGGCGGGGTTGAAAATGGGTGCTGGTCCCTTTTTCTTGACCATGATCACAGTTTTTCTCTGCATTGTTGCTGCACAGGTTAGCCAAAACTGACATTGAAGAAGCCACCATGATCCCAAATATCAGATGTCTCTTTTAACAATAATAGTTTTTGCTGCAAACTGCAGGGGCTTGGACTCGCCATTGGTGCAAGCTTGATGGACATGAAGAAGGCTACTACTTTAGCTTCAGTTACTGTCATGACCTTCATGCTTGCTGGAGGCTTCTTTGTTAATGTAAGAACAAAATTCAAAAATATTACTTATTCTGAAATAGGGTAAATTCTGTTTCTTTCTGGCTGGAACATATCTGACAAGGAATCTGGTTATAGTGGAGAAATTCTTGATAAAGTTTCCTAACTGTTTTATTCTTTTGAAAATTTTCTGCAGAGAATCCCCGTTTTCATATCTTGGATACGCTACATGTCATTCAACTACCACACCTATAAGCTGCTACTGAAGGTACAGTACGAGCATAGGATGCCAGTTATCGGTGGAACCAGAATCGACAGTGGTTTAGAGGAAGTGTGTGCTCTTGTTGCCATGGTATTTGGCTACCGTCTCTTGGCCTATATTTCTCTGAGGATGATGAAGTTACAGTCTGGTGCCTGATAGCTTGTGGCAAAGGATTGTTCATCAGGAACATGAAGATGATAATCTAGCTCTTAAGAGCTAGCTTGTGAAAACCTTGTGTTCCAAGCCGAAGAGAAAGGGGAAAGTGAAGCTACAGCCTAAACTAGCAGATTTTCCACCTCTACTGGGTGTCTGGTTCCTGTCAGGCTAAGACCTGTACTGAGAGGATGGGTCTTTACTCCTGGCATTAGGAAGCATGAAGATGAGGTTTTAGAAATGCTGACTGGGAACTCGAGCTCATTGCTAGAGTTTGACAATATGCAAGAGCATTAAACACTATGCATGAAATTTCGACAATAAGATTTTAGAGGATGGGAAGAAACTCTAGGGTGTGATATGGTATAACTAGCAGACTAGACACATGTTTGGAATTTTGTAACAAACACTCGATGCATAAAATGCATGTGCAATTTTCGTTTGACAGGAGACTCGGAAATCAGAAGCTTGATTACCAAGTTACTAGCATGTTTCTATCTTTTGATCATAATGTTTACCCCTTGGACAAGTATGATTCTACCTTCTCTGGCAAAACTGTTCCCTCGAATGCTAAATATGATCATGCCAGTGTCCTTAGCCAACCAAGTAGCCCAAGCAAGGCAGCGTCCAAAACAGGGGACTTCTTTTCAAGTCCTACAATGGAAATTGCATATAAAAGGGATCAGAATTTGCAAAAAGAACATGCAATTAAGAAGGTTTAACAATTTTACAGAAGTATGCGGGACAGTTGTAGTTTCTAGCTTACCAACATCAGCAGCAACACGGTGGGCACACATGACTCCAGAAAAGGCCACAGCTATAACACCTTGTCCAGGAAAGCAACTGTCACCAACACAGTAAAGCCCATCTACACTCTGCAAAATTTGCATCACCAGATTCAACACAACTCTCAAATCAGTAGACCGGAATTTATAGACAGTATCATCTTGTTTAAGTCAGAAGAGGTTAGGACTTTACTTACTGTTGTATTAAATGGCATACCCAATAAGCCTTTTGGAATGTTGCGTGGCATAGGTCCATAGGTCCCATCGTTGCGAGCAAGATATCGCCTGTGAGTCTTTGGTGAACCCACCTGCCATGAACCACAAAATTATTCAACATCTAAAACATTCTATAAGCATAAATATTCTGAGCACACAAAAAATCTTGATTAATAATCTAAATCTGCAACTATGTTAAGTAAAACATGACTAAGCTAACTTTACCTCCTTGAAAACAATGGCAGATTTTAGCCCAGGGAACAGTTTTTTCTCCAATCTGCTTATGATCTCATCAGCCACAGCTTCCTTCTTTGCCTCATAGTCTTTTCGAGGAATTCGCTGAAGCAATGAGTCTACGATAAGGAGAGAGAAATAATGCAGGGGACAAACAGAAATAAGACAAGAATTTACCTCCCAATCCTCTATGGAGGATGTTGTAAATATGTGAAGAATATGACATCCTTCTGGAGCCAATGATTTATCAAGAACAGTGGGAATGCTCAAAAAGATGCTTCCATATGGCGCCTCTAACCTTGCCCAATCATCCTACAAAGAGGAAGAGGAATGCACCATTGTTGATTGCGGCATCCAAAATTGCCAAGCAAATGCAGTTCACCAGGAAGAGAGAAATCACCTCAAGCACAAAATGGTGGCAGTCTGTATCGGGTGGTAGAACCTCTGCCTTAACACCCAGGTGAATAGAAAGAAAAGAGGGTGCCTGGACATAAATTTTTTGGAAATTTTCTTCCTCTTTTGGGAGCTGCTCTCCTTTCAACAATTTTCCTGCATCATCATGCAACTGTTTGCTATAAGAACTCGATGGGATGAATCAAGTCATCTAAGTTTCAAGCCGAAACATGTTTCAAGAAAGCTAACCAAAGGTATCCCATCTAGTTGCATTGGATATAACCGTCTTTGCAAATATCTCTCTTCCATCCGAGAGTCTCACTCCTACCTATAAAATGCAACTGGGTTACTTATAACCACCAGTGTTTGCATCAACCGTCATATAAATATAATTATCAAATTTAACTTACAGCCTTTCCATTTTCAAGAATTATCTTCATGACGTTTGCCCTGTAAGCAATCTCACTGCCTTGATCAACGAGACCTTTTGCTAGGGATTTTGCAATTTGACCAACGCCACCAACTGGATAATTAATTCCTCCAAAATGTCTGTCACATAGGACCTGAAGCATGGAGTTGAAAAGGTTCAATGGGAATAAAGAGAGGATGGCTGTGTTGATACCGCAAGTTAAAATACTCAGAAAACATACCATGGCTGCATTGATCATTGGTGTCTGCAGAGCATTAACTGTGCTCACTATAAAACACTGCATCCAAAAGACAACTCATAAGCTCGTCTGTTCTTTCCTTCATCAAGTTTTCTAGAATATGTCAGTGAGATCACTGAAGAAAAGGTTAAAGAGAAGCTATGAACAAACCTCAGCATCGATAAAGGACAACAAGCCAGGGTCTTTTATATACTTCCTAGCAATATCTCCAGCATTTTGGGGCAGATAATATGCTGCAACGTTTAACCAATTATGTCAGAAAAAATTTGCATGCATGATAAAGATAATGGATTTTCAGTTTTTCAATAACTTTTCTTCTGGTCAGAAAATATTTGCGAAAAGCCAAAAAACACAAGTTACCAAGAGTTAAGCACTCAAGAGGTTTCTGAAAGAACTGCCCAAACAGGTAGATAGGTTCCTCCAACGACTTCAGTTCCAAAGAGTTCAACGCATTGAATATCTATAAGAATATAAGCTTTTAGGGTAAGCAATCATTAAAGGCAACAAAATTGCACTAAGAAGTTGAACTCCAAGTCGCTTGCCACCAACCTTCCAGCATTCACCATAGAACTTAGTGATCCCTTCCTTCTCATGAGGAAACCTAGAAACCAGTTCTGCAAGAAACTCACTGTACTCTCTGTGGACAAGAACCGAGAGATTATTTGGAAGATGAAAATGGACAGTAGTCGGATCAGGAAGCACCTCCATCTCACAACCAACTGCTGCCAATGCTCTGGTTATCAAATTCAAATTCCCCTGTAAAGATTCCAACAGCAAATCAGAAACGATGAGTTATAAACTTATAACACCACTGATGATTCAGTGAACAATGTTAGCTTAACTTGGACACATAATGGATTTCAAATTGAGCTACCAAGAACTTCAGCTACATTCTAATTGCTGAGACACCAAGAACCTAGACTATCACACTATTCATCCTAAATCCATACCCCAATTCTCATTTGGTTCCAACATTACAAAAGACAAAAGAAACGGACACCAGATGGTGCAAGCAACTGACCTTGTCACTGAAACCAAACATGACAGAAGACCCAACATCGAACGTGAAACCATCTCGTTCGTAATAACCAGAGCTGCCGCCAGGAATGACATACTTCTCCAAAACCAGAACTTTAGCCCCTTTTACCGCCAGCTGAGTAGCAGCAACCAACCCACCAATCCCAGACCCAATCACAATTGCATCATAATACCCTCTCCCCCGGTTCCCCATAACATCCGTCTCTTTATCCACGCTCAGGGTTGACTTCGCTCTCACGGAGAATTCTCCCCTCCCGAGCTTCAATTTCCCATTTCTTACACAGCGGCCCTTGTCCAAGTCCTCTCCAATCCCATTGACAAAACCCAAACCTTGAAACGAGCGGTGAATTGCCTGGTTCTGGGTTGTGGTGCGTCTGAAACTCCCCAATTGGGCAGCACAGAAGCTACCCAGGAACTGAGAGCTGCAACTCATGACAGGCTCTCTCGGAAAGAAACTAGCTTTAGTGAATGGTGACCTAGAAATGAACCAGAATTTCTTCCAGGCAGTGGTGATGAAAATGGGTTGAGATTGTAATTGAAGTAGTAGGGAAGGCAAGTGCGGATTGGTGGTTGATGAAGAGATTCCATTCCCGGATTCCTTGCCGTTTGGAGGCAACGCAAAGACAAGGCGGAGGACAGTTCTAGGCTGCTATTGGAAATTCGGAAATAAAGAAATAAAAAAATTCGGGTTCATCATTTATTTATGTTATTATGCCGTGATGGAGAGTGTTCCGTTTGGGCCGGCTGTCTGATCGAGGTCTCTTTCTAATGGGCTCACGCTGGGGCCCAAAGGAAAGCCCAAGTAAAAAAAAAAATTTGAAGTCTGTCAGAAAGCACACATGACCATCTGGGCCGCCTCAGCAACCAAGAACGATCCTCTACAGCATCGATGAGTCCGAAGACAATCTCAGCCGTTAATCACGCTCTGATCATGTGGCCACAATTCATCCACCAAACTTGGATTCCTGTCTCCTTAGTGCTAAAGGACACAGAGGTACGAGCCTATAGAACAGATCCTGTTCAAGTAAGGTCGTGTCCAGCTAAGCTTCCCCGGATAATATAAACACCTGCTTTCAACTGAAACTAAGCGATGTGGTATTTTCTTCCTTCGATCTCTCGGGCCAAACTAAATCCGGCCCTACTCCAGGCCCAGCCCACTCTCAGGATGTGACTCTTCTTTCTCCGTTTCGCCTACACGTGTCCCTATTTTTTTAGTTTATATTATTATAATTATTTTCACACTTCGATCTGTCGCTCCGCGGCGCCAACGAATTTGGATCACTCACTTGCAAATTGCAAGCAAATCAGGTATTCATCTGTCTACCTCCCTTTCTTCTTCTTCTTGTTCGATTCTTTCTTGTAAGCTCTGCAAAACCTTGTTTGTCTTCTGAGAAACTTTGTATTTCTGTGAAACTAGTCTGGTGGCAGGCTGAAGCTGATTCTCTACTTGCGATGGAACGCCTCAAGGGATCTGCTCGTCTTATGATAGTCTCAGATCTTGATCACACCATGGTATATACACATGCTCGATTCTTCTCCTTCTTTCTGTATTCTTCCTCTAGTTATGGAGTTTCATCGTGCACTTTGCTTTGTCCGGTAGGTTGATCACCATGACAAGGAGAACATGTCTCTCCTTAGGTTTAATGCACTGTGGGAAGCCCACTACCGATTCGACTCCCTCCTGGTGTTCTCCACGGGGAGGTCGCCCACGCTCTATAAGGAATTGAGGAAGGAGAAACCCATGTTGACACCTGACGTAACGATAATGTCTGTGGGAACTGAGATCACTTATGGTAACTCGATGGTACCTGATGATGGTTGGGTTGAAGTTCTGAATCACAAATGGGATAGGAAGGTTGTCATTGAGGAGACTAGCAAGTTTCCTGAACTTACTCTCCAGGTAAGGTATGAGAATAGTGGCATTCTGAGTGGGCATTAGAGGGTTTGCAGTACGAACCACTGCATCGGCCATAGGTCGATGTTGTGAGTAAAAAGAACAAGAGCTTTCTTTTTCGCTGCTAAGTGTTGATGGAATAGTTGGGCTCTCTCGAGTAATTTGGAAAGTTTGGTTTTGTGCAGTCAGAGACAGAGCAACGGCCTCACAAGATTAGCTTCTATGTGGATAAAGCTAAGGCTCAGGATGTGATGAAGGCTCTCTCCGGGATATTCCAGAAGCTTGGGGTAAGATCAAGTTTCCCACTTGCAATGATAGTACATTTTAGTTCGATGATATGACCTCAATTATTCTGCATTTGTTGTAGTATCCTTATTTGAGGTTTTGGGGAAGTTACCATTTGAGTCATTTGTTGACCTATTGGTTGTTTCACTGGCCAGTTGGATGTGAAGATAATTTACAGTGGAGGAATGGATCTGGATATTCTTCCACAAGGAGCTGGAAAAGGCCAGGCCCTGGCGTACTTGCATAAGAAGTTCAAGAATGAGGGGAAGCTACCCAAGAACACTCTTGTCTGTGGTGACTCTGGAAATGATGCAGAGCTATTCACCATTCCTGATGTACATGGGGTTATGGTAGGATCTTGGTCTCTCTATGAAGTTGGTTGAGAGTAAAGATTAGCAATGCTGAAGAGCACATCATTCTCCTGCTCTGGAATTTTATATCTCCTTATGCAGGTTAGCAATGCTCAAGAAGAACTTCTGCAGTGGTATAATGAAAATGCTAAGAGTAATCCTAAAGTAATGCATGCGACTGAGAGGTGTGCAGCTGGCATTATTCAAGCCATTGGTCATTTTGGCCTTGGTCCAAATACTTCTCCAAGAGATTTAACTAAGCCAAAAGAAGGTGATTCAGAAAGCATCCATCCCAATCATGAATTGGTCAAGTTCTTCTTGTTCATGGAGAAATGGAGGCGTGCAGAAATCGAGAATTCAGAGGAATATCTGTTGAGTTTCAAATCTGATTCAGTAAGCTTGCTATCTTTGTAACATTCCTGTCTGTGTTTCTAGTATGCTTTATGCATGCATCTATTTGGCCGTACGGTATAATTTTGAGACCTCCACTGACATCCTATTGAAGAACAGTTTTGCTGTTTTACTTACCAAGTCTTCTAATTTTGAAGAAAAGTTTTGGCCGTAGGGTATAGTATGCTTTATTAATTTTCTTAACTCCAAACAAATCCCTCTGAATGTGTCTAATAAGTTAGTTGTGTTCAGTAAGATAAAAAAGTTATGATTTAATGGATTGAAACAGCTCTGCCTGAGGGTTTTGTTACTAAGTTTGGAGCTTCTCTTTCCCTTTTCTCTTGTGTTTTTTTGCAGGATCCATCTGGGATTCTTGTCCATCCATCTGGTGCTGAGCTTTGTCTCTCTGATGCCATGAATAAAATTAGGAGTTGGTACGGTGACAAGCAGGGGAAACAGTTCCGGATCTGGGTGGACCAGGTTTCATCCGTCCCAATTGGCTCAAGTACATGGCTGACAAAGTTCTATAAGTGGGAACAATCAGGTAGCTTTCCTTTCTCAAAGAAACCAAACTCAATTATTATGATTTTAGGATGATACCAGTCAAAATGGGAACTGAAATAAGCAGTAGAACTGTAGAATGAATCAGAGTAGAATTTTGCCCATTCGAATGATGAAGTGGTTTGTTCCTTTGGTTGAAATCCTTGTAGAGGAGGAAAGGCAAGGCTGCGTGACCACATGTATAGTTACTTTGAAGGTTAGTAGGAAAAACAAAAGTGAAATTGAAGTTGGCATTAGTTTTGGTGATCACCCTATGACATGACGATTTTGCTTTGTTTGCTGTCGTTGTTTACTTGTTAGGCTGGGAACCCGACTCCAACGTTTCTGCATGTGCACCAGACATGGTTGGAAGGATCAGCAGCTTCTAAAGATCAGTCCACCTGGCTCTTGTAGATCTCTCTCCTTCCCCTCTCGAACATCGCCGGAGAAAAGAAAGGAAAAGGTTGGGTATGCCCGAAATAAGAAGCTCAACCTAGCCTTTTGAAGTTTTTTTTGTTTTATGTAATTGAGTCATTTTACATCCATCACAAAGGATGATGATCGATGTGCAGTATGGCTTCCAGTTTCCTTGCTGTTGCTTTGACGTTAGTAGAAGCTATGTAACAAAAACAAATAACAAGTGAGAAACGATGATGATATATATTATATATATCATTAGGTTGAGAAGTGTTGATTTGAATCTGGCTGGCTGCTTCCTTGTCATCACTCTCTCCGATTTCATGTAATCATGTCATTAATCAATCGAACGATGTCGTTTTTACACTTCTGTAATGCGGATAGTTAAAAAAAAAATTGAATCAGAAAGGGCCCAACCGGGTTCGAACCGGTGACCTCTTGATCTGCAGTCAAATGCTCTACCACTGAGCTATAGACCCTTTTGATGTCTTGTATTTTGGTAGTACAGTAATTATTTGATAATAAAGTTTAAAATTTTATTTTGTTCAAACCTTAAAGAAAGAGATTCAAATGTAAGACTCACCACAATGTGGTGTGGTTTAGGAGAAAAAAGGGATAAAAAGCCCACAATGTGGGTGGGAAAAAGGGAGAAAGTGGAGAAATGAGGAATTTTGGGTGGTAAAACCCACCACAAAAAGACAAAAGGTGGGGGGAGAAAGGGAAGAGGTGGGGGCGGCAAAAGTGAGCATTTTTTTCCTGATTAATTTGTTAAGGTTTGTTTGTTTATGTTTGTTTTTGTATTTAACGAACAGAATCGATCAACGGCCATTTTTTGCAATGACCACTTTCCAACAGTCATTTTTTCAACGGCTATGATCCTCCAGCGGGGAGACTCCAAGCGTGCTTATGTCATTGTTTGATCCGGGACTTCCGAAGAAGGCATGCCAAATCCAGGTGTCGTATAACGCTACAACTTCCAGCACAATGGTTGGCCTCCCTTTGTATCCCGTATATTGTCCTTGCCACGCCATTGGGCAATTTTTTCAATCCCAATGCATGCAGTCGATCGAGCCTATCATACCCGGGAAGCCACGTTGGTGACTGTGATTGAGAAGGCGGCGAAGATCCTCCACATTTGGTGCTCCCAAGTACTCAGGGCCATAGAGGCAGATTATGGCATTACAAAACTTCCGCATGCATTGAAGTACAGTGGTCTCACCCATTTCAAATGCCTCATCTAAGGAGTCGGCTGAGCATCCATTTGCAAGCATCCGGAGGGAAGTAGTAAGCTTTTTGCTCTGGGGAGAATGATAGGCGACCAAAAGCATCTTGGCCTTGCTGAAAGTAGGAGTCGTATTGAACAATGCCATTTAATACTCGGTTGAACAAGGGCAGGGGCATCCGAAATCTCCTTCTGAAGAACCTAGCATCGTAGGTCGGATTGGGAACGAAATATTGTTGCATCAAGCGTCAGTGTGCTTCAACCCTGTTACGTCTTACTGATTTACGTGGATGTGAACGATGTCGAGATGAAGATGCTTGCTCTTGGAACATAAATGATGTTGCCGTCACCATCATCTGTTGACGCTCGCGGTCAAGTTGGCACTCATTCTCCCATTGTGTATCATCATCTTCTTGTTGCCTCTCATTCGCTTCTCTATTAGGGGAACTCATGATAAAAAAAAAGTTTCGGTTTGTAGAGAGAAATACGCAGTAGAGAAAATAAAGATAGTTGAATGTTGGGATGTATAGATGGACAAAATTTGGTCTTCATTTATAGAAACACGAAAAGATTCTCCAACAAATATTGACATTTCACAACTCAGTATGATTAAAGTTGCATGAACAAATGATGACACATGTCATTCTGATTAAAGCGACATGAATAGTTGATGTTACCACTCAATATGATTAAAGCTGACAAAATAATTGATGACACCACTCATTCTGTGAAACATGTCATGAGTCATGGTCATCTCGTATTATTGTGATTTCGTTATTGATGATGTCATACTTAATTAGTGATGAAAAAAAATATGTCCAAATTGAAAAAAAAATATATCGAAATGTTCGTATTATTAATTATCACTAAGTACGTAAAAATAATGATCATTATATAAAAATAAAATAACAAAATCAACAATAAATTGATTTTAACAAAAAATATACTAAACTGAGTACCCACTTTTTCCATGAACAAACCATCCAATTTTCCCACATTTCTCCATCTACATTGTGGATGGTCCAAGGGATAGGGCCTACGGGGAAAGTGGGAGCACCGGCCGGCCTTATCCAATCGCTCACTTTTGTTTAATTAATTAGTACGTTACCTCATTTATTACGATTTCAAATTCCCAGTCTACTAAATCTCTCCACCTCAGATCACCGCCATCCCCTACTCTCTCTGCCTCCAGCTACCTTGGGATCTTAGATCAGAACCAGATTGGAGGCGAGTCCGGAGGTCCGATTTGATCAGTTTTTGGGGGCGATAATGGCACTTCGGATCGCGTACGGAGTGGTGTTCCTGTCCATGTCGTGTACCTGCTTCATGCTTCTCCACCTCCTCCTCACTCCAGTCCTCTACCTCGCTCCCTGACGCCCGCTCAGATCGCCGGCCGGATCTGTACAGTCAGTTTTATCTTCTGCTTGCGTTTTTCTCTGCGCGTCGGTTCCCCGGTGATGATCTATTTGCAGCCGGGTCTCTGTCACAATTAAATTTTAGCATGAGATCGATTTTTGGAGATGGTGGTCCGGTTCTCTGTTTCCTCTTCTTCTTCTTCTACGGCAGACGGATGATTCCGGCGAGTGCTTGGTTGGATTTTGTATCTTGGCTTGTGTTGTTAGTTGTACCACTGCAAAATGTTTATTTGTGTGATTATGTGGAATGGAATTGGATGAGTTATCTGCTTTAACCCTAATTTTTTCTGGCTTTTTGGCTCCATGATTGCATCCTTAATCAAAACTGCAGAGGATCCAATAGATCACAGATTTGCGTCATCAAAATCCACTGCTTTTGTGATCAATTAGTGCAGAAAGCCCCCCTATTAAGTGGGTTTTTTGAACCTTTTGATGCCTCCTCTGGATTTTACAGTCCCAAATCCACAAACGCGGAAGAAGAGAATTCGCATATTAGTCAAAAAGAAGAAGCTCAAACGTTTCACAATACCAACGACCCCAAAAGTACTAATAAGTAATATATAAATCAAACAATGAAACACGAAGGAATTTGTTTATCATGATATTTTAAAACCCTCTCTAAAAAAAACGAAGAAAAATCCCCAAGAGTTAGTGGGTTCCCTTCACCATTCCTGCGCTGCGCGCACGTTTTCCCCACCAACCCCTGCTTCTTCCCATTCTTCCAATGTTGGTGTTCGGGACATTCAATAAAATCACCATAACCGACCAACATATCATCGGCGGACTCTTGAGGGAAGAAGAAGAAGAAGAAGATGGAGAATTCTGTGGGAGTTGGTCTAATGGCTGCGTTTGCAATCTCGGGAAGCGTTGCTCTCATTTCTATCCAGCTCCAAAACCGCCTCATTTCCAATTTCATGGACAAGATTGAAGTCCAGCTGGGTTTGTATTTATTTCCCTCTGTTTCTGCTCTGTTTTTTCTCTTCTCTTTTGTTATGCTCTGTAATTTCATTTTCAACGGAAGCCGAATTTGATTACCTTAAAGTTGGGAAATTTGATGACAGCGAGGAGGAGGAGAAGAATAATCCATCACCATAATCGTAAACACCAATATAAGCAGGGGAAGAGGGTCCGATTTGCAGAACATGTAATGGAGTTTTCCCCTGTTTCCCAAGATAGTGATGATTATGATGACAACAGGCAGATTCTTTACAAAGGGATTATGGTTATGGATGAAAGGACCCTTGAAGAGTACCGCAACTCCACTTGTATCTAAGGAATCGCCAACCATTGGAGCGACGAAAAGCTCCAATCTTGGAACCGTGATGTAATGGCGCCACAGATAATGATTTTTTTCTTCTTTTGATAGACACAGATAATAAATTAAACTGTTAACTTTATTGTAATTTATATATTTACTTATTATTAAATAATTAAGTTTATACATTTATGGCTTTTAATGTACTATTAAATGTAATGTTAGCTTAGAGATGAAGTGAAATAATCGCACGTATTTTATACGTAATTTTTCCATATCATATTTTTCTAACTATGCTTAAGTAGCAACAATTAGTAGTTAGTATAATACAACAACAACCTTTAGGAGGGGTATATGTATATAAACAAAGGTGGGCATTTTTGTATTTTTACCAAATTTCACACCATCAATTCCCACAAAACTAAACCCTATCCAAACGTGAAATTTTGTTCAATTTCCACACGTCAATTCCTTGGTTTTGTAAAATATGGAAATTCAGACAAATTCCCACGTTTTCAAATTTCCACATCCAAGTATGCGCCCAAGCACAGGAATTGTAAACATTTGTTTCGATTCGTTCATTGTTTGTTGTTATTGAGGAGGAAGGTTTATATTCTGGTGATGGAATTGTTTCAGCCGTAGTGTAGTCCGTATTTCATATATAAGCTGAGTTCGAATTTGTTTTCCCGGCAAGAAAAATAAAGATGAACAGAATTGGATTTGCACCTTTGACTTCCAAACAAACGATTAACAAACACGGTCCACACCTCTTTGAACAAAGTTCAAACAAGGGTGTTCGATGTTCTTGGTGATCTACAAGGCAAACTAAATTACATTAATTCTACTCCTATGGAGGTTCAGCGAGAGCTCCGAAACTACAACTATGGCTATGACTACATTTGCAGAGGAAAAGGTAAAGATAAAAGGATAAATTTGACAATAGGTTGTCTGGTGTGATTTTGGCGAACCCCTTCTCTGTCATCTTCACCTCCTATTTATAGCCATAAGAAGTAACTGCCACAAGAAACTGCTCTGCTGACGTGGAGTGACAGTTGCCCTCTCAACTGCTTCGACGGTTACCTTGACGTTGGATGTAGACCAATCTTGGCCTCTCCTCTTGAAACCTCACTCCGTGCTCTTGGTATCCCCTCCGTAGCTTTGCTTGTCTATGGAGAAAAAATGGCTAAGGCATGAAAGCAGACCACGTGCCACATATGAGTGGGTACTCGAATCACTTGAGTCAAAAATGGCAAAAACACTTCACCATTACAGGAGTAGGGAGACCACGTGCCCACCTGACCCCCCTTGACCACCTCACGAGGGTGATGTCTTGGTAGCCCCCCCTGGCAACCTCATGGGGGCGATGTTGACCACGCCCCTTGGGGGCCATACCATGGGGCGTATGCTGGTGACCCCCTGACCATCCCATAGGGGTGGATATTAAACACCGCCCTGATCATATCATGGGGATTGCATGCTCATGGCGGGGTGTGTTGATGGCCACCCCCTGATCATCTCATAGGGGTTGCATGCTCATGGCAGGGTGTGTTGATGGCCACCCCCCGATCATCTCATGGGGGTTTCTCCTTGCCATCCTTGGTGATCACCCTCCCTGATCATACCATGGGGCCCCCATCCTTCTCCATACTTAATCGTAGTTCACCCCCATGGGAGTTGGCAATATGACCCCCTCACTACGTCCTGAGTCACCCCCTTACCACGTCATGGGGGTGTCGATATGGTACTCACGCCCTTGGTACCTCCTGGGGGTGGCAGTATGATGCCTACCCCCCTTACCACGTCCTGGGGGTGGTAATTCTTCTCTTTGCCTTAGCCAAATTCGGCCATCACCCCCCTCACAATGTTCTGGGGGTGGTATGATGGTGGCCACCCCCCTTGGTACCTCCTGGGGGTGGCGGTATGATGCCCACCCCCCTTGCCACGTCCTGGGGGTGGTATGATGGTGGCCACCCCCTTGGTACCTCCTGGGGGTGGCGGTATGATGCCCACCCCCTCTGGGTGTCATGGGAGTGGATCCCATACTTAGCCAAATTTGGAGATACATGGCGCGCGTGGTGGCACGGAGTAATGGGCCCAAAAAACCCAATCTCCATGGCCCACTCAATTGATTTAAACTGATATGATTAAGTTGGCCTTATAAAGCCATTTAATTCCTTGTTTTTAACCAATGTGGTACAAGGTTTATTTTTATGGGTAAACAAAATTTAAAATAAAATATCCCAAGATAATTTTTCAGACATTTCTAGAACATGTTTTCACATTCTGAGAATTTTGAAAAACAAATTTACATGATATCAATGTTATTATATCATATCAAATAGTCATTTATATTAGTTCATCAATGTGCGTAGTATTTTTACCTAATTCATTGGCTCATTATAAATATCCTTTCAAAACTTGTAGAGGAGGCTGGTAGCGAGAACGGTAGATCAGTTTTTAGATTACCATGGTTCTAAGAAATTTATGAATTCTATTTAGTTCTAGAAAACTCATAGTCTTTTTTTCAAATCATATAAATAATAATCTAGGTGTGGTTCCAAAACTAAAATATGATTGTGATAGACAAAAAAAAACTCATTATTAGGTTAAAAGGAAGATAGCAAGTTTCAACAAGAAGAGAATTTGGTGGAAGAAGAGTAAAGTATAGAACTAAGGATTTTATACATGAAGGATGAAGTTTTATTTGATTTTAATATTATTTATGGAGAAACTAGAATGTATTATAGATAAATGACGATGAACTTAGGCCTCGTTTGCTTCATGGAATTCGTTATGAATTTGGTACGTAAGAATTAAGTATCATGGACTTTGTACATAATTTGTCGTTTGCTTGATGGATTTAGCAGGAATAAATCCGTGGACCTCACAGACTTGAGAATTCCACCCCAAGAGATGAGATTTGTGTTAGGAGTACAAAGTCCATAATGACTTTTTACAATTTTAACCCTGCTTATTTCACTAATCACCAACTTATCCTCTTTCATTTACTAATGACCAACTTGTAGTGCATTTTAGTTTTGCATTCAATATTCATTATTATACATTGCACGCAAGCACTACATGATTAATCCCAAAGCATACTTTGCAATTGCAACAATGAAAACCTTAGTGAATTGTCAATTGTGTGCATAATATGACGTTGTTATAAATTAATGATGTTTATTTGTTCCAATGTGAGGGTGGGTCGTCACCCACTCGAACAGAATAGGTGTGAGGGTCAGGGCCGTCCAATTCATCACGGAGGCCCTGTTCCAAATTTGAGATGTGACCCAAATTGATTTTTAACTATAATAAAATTATAATGATTATATCATAATTACTTGAAATGTAATATCTTGCTAATATTGTTTAAAATAAAATTATCTAGTATGCCTCTAATTTTCGTATTCTTCATGGGATAATTCCAATTATTATCATGGCTATTCCATTAAAAAAATATTTATATTATCTTTCTAATACAAATAGTATTTCAGAACACAAACAATAATTTAACAATCAATATAAGTGTCTAGTGTATATATACATGAGAAAATTAATCAATGGCTAACACTAATATTAATTAATATAATTAAACTCATTATTATACTCATAATTAATTAATTAATCATACACTACAAATACAACCTACAATATATTATGGGTTAACTAAAAGATCTAAGTGGAGGCCCCTAATAATCGGAGGCCCTATGCCGAAAGGCGGCTTGACACACCCTCTAGGTCGGGTATGGTGAGTGTGAGATTTAATGACCTACAATTCACTCACATCAATTACTCCCAAAACGATTTGAGCTATTTATGAATAAATCGATGTCAACCTGCAATTCAACCACTCACTTAGTTTTCCCACGATATCAGTATGATGGATGTTTTAGCCCTCCCGTCATTACTGAACCAATTTCTAATGTTAACCCAGATTTTAACAGTTATCCTTTATTTGGGTTGGAAGTTGGATAGTGTTTTGAAGTGTTAAATGAGTAACGAGTAATTCTCATGCAAAGCAAGGGGGCAAGTTCCATGAAAAGGCATATTGTAAGTTTGGGCTGTAGTTGCTCGATGGGCTACAGCCTACAGCAACTCATCAATGCCGGTCAACACAAAGAAACAATTATGTCGTCCATGGGACACAAAACTGCCACTAGCCTCTCACATGCAGTGGAGAAAAAGGATTGAAAAGTTGAAAGTATCGGCGGTTCGATCAAACCATGATTTTAACATAAAATACTCTATCGCTAATTTTTCGGTACGATCTCCGGTACGGTATTTCAATTTTTGGAAAATAGCCGGAAATGGACCCACGAAGTTTGGAAGGAGAAGGATGATTCATGTTAAAATAGAGTTGAGAGTTGGAAAAGAAAGAAGCCTGGATCGTACATGGATGGATCGTGGCAGGGAAATGGGAACTTCTCACATGGAATGTTTGGGTTTGTAGAAAGAGACACCTTCTGCTTCTGCGGTGCCTGCATTCAGATTGGTTATTATTATGATTGTGTATAATGTCACTCACTCACTCTACTGTGGTCCTTTTCTTGTGCGCATTGGTCTCAAAGCCCACCCTGTTTTACCCTTTGTTTCTTTCCTTCTTTGGCTTCTCCTCGTCAATCTTTCGCCTATTGTTGGGCAAACAACAGAAAGGTGGTTGTGATTGTGATTTATGAGTAAGAATGCCCCCATCATTTAGCTTATTGACCACTTAATTTCAAGTTATTCAAGAGGGTAATGATGATTTAAGTAGTCTTTGGTATTAAAATGCTCGATTTGAACTGCAAAGTTGACAATTAATGCTTCGTAATGGACTTCTGGGCTCTGACCTCCTAGGTTGGATCAAGACATCTAGTTGACAAGTAAGACTCTTGTTTAATGTCGAGTACAGGGCTTTGACCTCCTAATTTGGATCAAGACTTCTAGTTGACAAGTAAAGACTCTTGTTTAATGTTTGAGTACATTGAACAAAGAGGTTGATTATCTCAATCTCGAGCTCGATCGAGCTCGTCCCATAACAATCCTCCCCTCAAGCCAAGAACCACGAGTTTCGCGTCCTCTTTTCAGTGATGGTCTTGATCCGCCAGACGCTTTGCATTGATGGGCTTCTCGGTACAAGGACTTTAACTGTTTCCTGGATCGCATATCTCAAATCCCGATATCACCGAATGAGGGTCCCACCGAACTGACGTCCACCGTCCCGGATCCGCCGAACCAGGCTCTGATACCACTTGTCAGAACAGAAGCGTGCAATTGATAATCCAAATCAACATGAACGAACACAAATTTAACGTGGTTCACTAACACAATATGTGCTAGCTAATCCACGGCAAGGGAGAACAAATTTCACTGATTTGAGGAGAGTACATGTTACAAACCAAATTCCGAACGGCCAAACCAAACAAACTAACCTGACTGACCTTACCACATATTTGGGAGATGAAGAGTATTTAATTATTTAGGGTAAATACAATTTAATATCCAAACCTTTTATTTTAAACAATATAATAGCCAAACCTTTTCGAAAACAATCTAATATCCAAATCGTCAACTTTTTGTCTGTTTGACCGTTAGTTGACACTTCAAAAAAGTTCGAAGTACGACACTTCATCAATATTCATCGATATCTTCTCTAAAAAACCACCAACATATCGTAGTTCCAAATCCGAGAAGTCTATGACTCCACCATGATTATATAGAATATCTAAATATTCAGTCATCTGCAATACAAAAACAAGAAAACAAAGTTTTATCGTGACAATTTCCCATAAACAAAGCTTTTTTGAAGTGTCAACTAACGGTCAAACAAACGGAAAGTTGACAAATTGGATATTAGATTGTTTTCGAAAAGGTTTGGCTATTAAATTGTTTAAAATGAAAGGTTTGGATATTAAATTGTATTTACCCAATTATTTATAGAACTCTTCTCCTAATTTCAAACAAAAAACCAAATACTTTTTTCAAACCTACAAAGAAAATGCCAAAACAAAGCTCAAACACAAACCCAACCAAAATTAAATAGACTCAAAACACAAAACAAACCCAAATAAAATTCCAGTAATATTCTACTGAACCGCCAACGGCAAACATCCGAAACAACCAGCACTAACTAAAGTCGCTTATTTGTCAAAAAAAAAAAACTAAAGTCGCTTCATTATAGATAACCACTAACCCACAAATTCCCATTAATCACGTCATAATCCCACCCACAACAACCCACAATTAAATAATAACTATTATTAAATTAATGCACATGACATTAATCCTATACATCTTTCTTATTTGTAATTAGTTGCTTTTATTTCAACATGTATATATTAGGTTGCACGATTGCATAAGTTACCAATGGACTACTACGATGAGGAACTTTTTCAGGAGTATAGGAAAACTAGCTGGGAAGGTTTATCAAGATGGATGAGGCCACAAGGCTAGCGATCAGAGGGCATTTCGCTAGAATATGTGTCGAAGTCAACTTGGCGAAACCTTTGATATGCAAATATCGTCTGAAAAGGAGAACACGCCGAGTTGAGTATTAGGGCTTACGCAAGATTTGCTTTGAAATGTGGTCGTTATGGGCATGAGCAAGAAGTGTGCCCATCGAAAACCCTAGCAACACCAACGGAAGCGGATTTCCTTGGAGCACATGTTCCACCCAACAAGCTTACCATCGAGCAAGAACGCCCGGAGATACATGAGAGCTACGAGACACTTATAACAGCAAAAATATAAGAATTCGAATTACATTATGCATATATGTACTTTCCCCCCGAAAAATTTCATATAAATTCCTCGTCAACCATTAGATAGAATGAGAATGAATTTTGCATTACTATTTCGGAGTTTCACAAGAGAGATAACATTAGGCATCTTTCGATATTAATTAGACTTGAGAACATCAAAATGGAATGATTATCCATCCAATTTTGCATTGTTATCGTCATCATATACTTAAATGGAGAGAAGTAATAAGAGAAGAAAATCACGATTAGGGGTGGGAGTCCTTAAATAATAAGTGCCTAATAAGTAATAAGATGATGATATTGTTATTAGATTTGGATAAGTGTCTTCCACATCGATGACTCGGCCATCACTTTCGGCTGGTGCTTTGTCGTTCCCACCACACGGGTGGCCTGCTTATTGCTTTAACCTCCACGTGTCCACACCACCGATTTTTGTTATCTTCCTCACAGTCAAAACGGTAAGACTAACAAGGTTGGACGTCGTGGGATCTATCGTTGGACCTTTCACAATGGACTATTTGATAAAAACACATGGTTTTTGTTATTATTTGATATTCGGGCGATTCCTGTTTTGCGATGTTTTTGGAATTGCTTGTGCATTTTTTGGCATTTTTTATAGGGGTTTTGGGTGTTATTTGAGTATTTCAGTAGTGGGATTAAATGACAGATAGTTTAAGGGAAGTATGGGTGGAGGGCGGTCGGTTCGGTTATAACTGAAAACTGAAGGGTCGGTTATTGGTTAGCCGAACCGTCCTCTTCTCCCTACCAACCGAGCATCCCTCCTCGATTAATCGACTACCGATCAGTCGGTTATCGGTTGGTTTGTCGGTTAGCCGTTGTAACCGAAAATTGCCTGGCGCGGAGGAAGGAAGGTGTCGCCGAGCTTGGGGTCGCCGCTGTCTGGGATGGATGAAGGTGCGGAGGAGACGGAGTTGCGGTCTGGGACGGAGGGAGGCGTGAAGGAAGGGGTCGCGGAGCCTGGGGTCGCTAGGGATTGGAGGGGTTCGCCGAAACTGGGAAGTTTGTGGATGGTGGAGAGCGGAGGTGAACGAAGGGTGTGGGGTGGTTGCGGTTTGGAGGAGGAGGATGATAAATGGAAGGAAGAATTAGGGTGGGCGGGGATGGGGGTAATTGTTTATGAGACAAAACGGTGAGGTTTTGGGTAGGTCGGTTACTTTCGGTTAGGCGGTTATCTGCGGTTAATAACCTCCGATTAGTCGGCTAACCAAAAAGCCCCGCTCTTTCACTGATGACCGACCGACTGACATAACCGTTGTTTTTCGGTTAGCTGCTAACCGATTACCGAACGACCACCCCTACAGAGAAGTATCCCGGATTATATGTTCTGTAAATTGTGGACTTGAGTCATTAATCAATAACCTGTAATTTTCCTAAACCTACTGCTTGATGTGTTTGTTTCTTAGATTTGAGTTACTCTCTACAGACTTCATGTTTCCTTCAAATTGTGTGGAACACCTGTCTTGTGATTGTTGTTATGAAGATACTTAAAAGTATGGTATCATTCTTATACTATTCTATCACCTTCAACGTCCAGAAATCTTACCACAAAACAATTTCGTATTGTAGGCCGTTGTTGTCCATTATTATTTCTTTTAGTGTAGGTAGAAGGTAAGTGCGTCGTCTAGTCAACTATTTGTCGAAAGAGATTTCTCAATTGCGAAAAACAGTAATTGTTTTCTCCAAATCACTATATATATATATATATATATATATATATATATATATATGGTGGCTACTTCGGTGCACTCACTTTTTTGGGTGCACTGAACGCACCCACTTTCTTTTTTAATCTTAACCGTTAAATACATCAACGGTTACAATAATTTGATTTTTTTAATAATTAATTATTAACTAATAAACTATATTATATTTATTAAATTAATTTGAACTTATTGATATTTGCAATTAAACCCCTAACATTAATCCTATTGTTCGTCGTTTCTTTTCCTCGCTTCCACCGTCAGTAATTTCCCGGTGGGAGGTGACGATTAGTTTCCAGTGCCTGGCATCATCCTCCTCCGACACTAATCCATCACAGGCTATTCTTGCATGCTCAACATGGTATCAGAGAAGCAAGCAAGACGAGAGCAAATAACATAACCGGAAGAGCTTAGTAGATAATCAAACCAGAGACCTAGTAATTAACAGTAAACCAATAGAGAAGAGATACAGAAAACGAAGTTTAATAATAAAGTAGACACAACAAATGATAAAATTGGACCAAAAAAACCACTAACTAATAAAATTGAAGTAGAACAGCAACAAACAGAAATCAGTAATCATAAAATTGAACCTAGGCCTAACAACATAAACAAAGTCGACGACAACCTGCAAAAAGAGAGCAGATTAGAAAAGGTGAAGATGATGGGTCACCGTTCTGCCACGAAAACTGGCAACAAAAAGTGAGAGAGTGCCCCTCTAGCAAGCACAAACCAGAAGCACAATTGGAATCAGATCAACCAGAAATTGAGGAAACCAAGCTTCGGAAATTAGATTAAGAATAGAAAATCAGTCAATGAGGGGCCTTTTAATAAATAATTATAATTTATTAGCTAATAATTAATTAAAAACAAATCAAATTACTGTAACCGTTAGATGTGTTCAACGGTTAAGATTAAACAAAAAAGTGGGTGCGTTCAGTGCACCCAAAAAAATGAGTGCACTGAATACGCCACCATATATATATATATATGGTTCAGGCTAGCGTACACTTGGCGTACGCTATACACCTGTGTTCACACTTATTTATTATTTTTTGTTAATTATAATTAAATCAGTAATTAATAAAAATCATAATTACAACTACACCTATTAATCTAATTTCATATACGATTTAGTCCAAAATCATTTTTTATTATCATTATGCTTAAACCAATCATATAAGTTATCCAACGCAAGACTTATAGTACCTTAATTTTTTGCTAATCATGATTTAACATACAAATTTCTTAAATAGTCCAATCGTCATTTGTAACAGACTAACAATCCATCCAAGTTCATTTAACTTCTTCTTTCGGAATGCACTACTAAACCCTTAAACGATAACAACCTTGCATTCATCCCCTACCTCTTTCCATTTTCCATCCTCTTTATTCTTCTCCTTGGTCTTCGTCGTCACGAGGGAGACTGCATCTAGTCTCTATTTCATATGCCTCCCTGCCCCTTGGACGGACGAGAATTTCCCAATTATTCTTTCTCCTTCTCAATCTTCCATTCGCGTAACTGCCATGAAAATCCAGCCGTCCTCCTTATTTGTAGATCATAGTTTTGTCATCTTCCCAACCCAAATCAGGCAGACTGGTCTCTCTAGGTTTTAGGGTTTCTGAGCTCGATCTCTCGCACTCTCGCAGGAAGGAGGTGCTGCAAGGGCCGAGAATTTCTTCGTTGTACATAAAACCAAAATGAATAAACTGGCAGCCATCGATCTGTGCGTTGGAACCGGTAGCTGGGAATATTGCTTGAGATGTCAACTGGTTTCACCACTGCCACCGCCTACCAAAAGAGAAAACAATCGATTACAAAGATTATAACAGAATAAAGAGTCCAATCTTTGTTCTACTTCTACAGAAGGAGAAAAAAAGGCCAATCTTAGCATACAAGCTCTTGGGTCATCACTTGTATCAGTAAAAGAACAAACCACCAAGGAGAATACAAGGAGACTCTAAGTGGCAAGAGCCTGTGTTATTACACATTCAATGAACTCGTCACTGACTCCTCCAATTATCCTGATTCCAGAAGATTAAAGCTTGCCCATTTAAAAAATTCCAATCCAGTCTTCCAAAACATAAACTTGTTGCCCCGAGAGACGAGAGCAATGGCCAGGGAATAATAAATATAAGTTTCAATCACGTTCTAGAAACCCTAGAATCAATCAACTAGGTAACCAATTCAAAGCGACACATGCGAGGGGAAAGTCGAGCAATTGAAAGGACAACGAGAAGGCACAAGTCTAGAAGAATAATCAGGGGAATAAGAAAAAAAAGTTAGGGATTTTTCTTGAGAGGTGCTTCATCTACGGCACCAGAGACGGCCGGGATCACGAAATCCCTCCGGGACCCGACAGCAGCTGCACGGAACTGGCGATCGAGATTCCTCTAGATGATTGAGTACTTCAAGACAAGGTCCAGCCAGTACAGCTCACATATACGAACTAAAGAGACAACCAGATTGGAGATTCCCTGTTCCTATTTCGACGAAATCGATGGCTGAAGGCGGGGAACTAATGATTTGGAGAAAAGAGTCCTATGATTCATATAATTACAAGTTAAAGAATTGATTTGAGCGTAATGCACAATAAAAATTGATATGGGACTAAAACGTATACAAGAAATAATGAGTGACTATGATTGTAATACTAATAATTAATTGATTATAATTAAATAATTAATAATTAATTAATAGGTGTGAACACAGGCGTACGCCGTACATCAGGTGTACGCTAGCCTTTACCATATATATATTAAAAAAATTATATATTTTTGTTCAGTTTTACACAAAGTTTTGATTATTGAAACCCCAATATATTTTGTCTATAACTAATATTATTTTTGCGTTAGGTCGGACCATCAGATTACACTGTTTTGTTGCGAGGTCCATAGTTTTCAATAACAAACTGTCTAACTCTTTTTTTTTTTTTTTTTTGACAATAACAAACTGTCTAACTCGGTTATCATCAAATGAACCATTTCAACGTCAATCCGAATAAGCTCGCCGATCATTATTAGTACCCAATACATATCTGTCTCGTTGAAAGAAAAAAAAAACTATAAATGAAAGAATGAACAAATCTTTTGCAAGGTAAGTTTGTACTTAACAACTTACCATTTTATATCATGTGGGAAACAAAAAGAAACCCAAAACTGTGGGTAAGTATTATTATTATTTACCAATATATACAGTAGCAGAGTATTGCTGCCTAATGGCCTATTAATAAATTCCAGGAGAGGCAGAAAATAGACCTATGAATGCTCGGCAGGAAAAAGTCCCTCCCACCCTCACCACTCTTTTTACCAAAGACTGAGAGAAAGGAAGAAGAAGAACAAAAAAAAAAAAAAAAAAAAAACACTGGAACTCCGCGAAATTCGGTCGATCCATATTTGACCTTCTCTCCCTCAATCAAACTCCTTCCTTCTCGTTTAGAATTAGATTCATTCATTCTATAATCCAACCTCCCGATCTCCCCACCTCCATTTCGCCGGTGCTCTCATCTCTGCACGGCCAACACACAACAAAACCCCCTTTCTTCCTTCTTCTTCTTCCGCCGCGCCGAGCACCGCCTTCCTGGAAAATGGAGGAGGAGCTCTGCCTCTAATCTCGCCAATCACGAATCCGGGAGAAGAAGGGGGGGAATCCAATACCCAATTAAAAAAAAAAAATTATAAACCCCAAAAATGATCTTCGACATCGACAGCAACGGCAGCACGCGGCGCGTGCTGACGGCGAGGGAGCCGTCGCTGGTCCTAATCCGGCCGTCTTCTCCGACGATAGCCCGGCGGGACACGTTCCTCCCGCCGCGGCACCGGCGGAGCTACTCCGCCTCCGAGGCGTCGTGCTGCAGCGGGAGGTTCGGGGAGCTGGCCGGGGGGACGACGGCGGAGTGCGCGGCGATCGCCTGCTGCTGCCCCTGCGGCCTGGCGAACCTCCTCTTCCTCACCATCTACAAGGTCCCCGTGGGGCTCTGCCGGAAGGCCCTGCGGCGGAAGCGGCGGCAGCACCTGATGAAGAAGGGGCTCCTCCTCCCGCGCGCCCGCCGCTGCCAGTGCGGCTGCGACAACACCGAGGTCCAGATCCACCCAATCCACGGCGACCCGCAGTCGTTCGACCTGCAGATGATGATGGGGATGCACCTGGAGGACTTCGACGACGCCGACGACGGCGACGTCCTCAGGAAGCTCCGCTCCGGCGGCGGAGGCGGGGAGGAGATGATGAAGCTGGAGAAGGAGATGTGGGAGACTTTCTACGATACCGGGTTCTGGAGGAGCCCGTCGCAGCGGGAGGAGAACGGAATCCCCTCTGTCGCCGCCGCCGCCGCCGCCGGTGGGTCCAAAGAAGCTTCATCCAAGCATAAAGAATTGTAAAAATCGGGGGGTGGGTTTTAAGTAGAAGAAAACGCCCCCCATTGAAAAATGGGAAATTCGGGAGGAATGGGTTGAATCTATCAATCCATTTTTGTTTTGCTTCTTCGTTCTGCTCTGTTTTTTTTTTTTAATCAAACTCCTTGCTAATGCTAAAAATGGGTACTTCATCTTATTTGCTAAGTTTTTACCCGATTGGAGGTTTCGTTTTTTCTGAATTATTCAACACCTGTAATCGAAAGCCTGGTGTCAAGAAGGAATCGGAGAAAACAACCCCCTAATTGTTTTTAAATTTTATAATTTGTTCATGAATTGAATTTGGTCTTGGTGGTCGGCCATAAATGAATCGGCTTTCTGCTGGTGTTCTTGTTGCGCTGTGTATGTGTGATGAGGAAATGAACAAATTAAGGCAGGCAAAACAGGGGAGAGGGATGCTGATTGTTGGGTGGAGGAAAGAAAGGTTTGAAAAGGTTAAAAAAAAACAGAGTGAAAAACAGAGTCCAGAATTTTACTCGTCTGGTATTTCAAAGTAAGTTACCGCGTGCAAATGAAAAAAGGGGATTGAGATGCTTGTTGCCTTCGTCTTCCTCTTCATCTGCTTGTACCCTTTCCATCTATCGTAATCAGTTGACAATCATAATACTCAGAGATTAAAGTTAGTTTCTAGGATGGATCTTTCACAGTAGCAACTGATATTTGTGATTGTCATATTGGTGCTTCGATGGTAATACAGCACTTGCTCAGTTGCTCCCTTGGACTCACGGAAAAGCAGCATCCCAAATTAATTAAAAAGAGTTTATGTAAGTTAACACAAAAGCCATTGCTTTCGGTTACTAAGTGGCGGATTGAGGGCGGGGAAGAAAATATAATAATAATAATAATGTTAAGGGGAAAGATAATGATATTTAAAAAACTGTGGGAGGAAGCAGACAAATTTTATGCGATTTAATCTATAAATTTGATTAATAATAATGATAATATAAGAATGATAACATTTATATTTTAGATAATATATTGGTTTTCGACTTTTCGTTTTTTTTATTTTGACAAATTTCGTTTGAAAAAAGAAAAAATAGGAAATTTTTTGTCGGTGCCTAGCCTAGGTGGTGTTGAATGTTGATAGTATAAGACCATCTCCAACAAGCAATTGAAAAAATGCTAGAATGCCAACTGCTTTTGGCATTTTGGCATTCCAAAAGTGGTTTTTCTCCAATAAGCAATGTCAAAATGCTAAAATGACAAATCTTCTCTTTTTCTAATAAACTAGTTTACTGTAGATTTGATCATTTTAATTAGATAGTTTGTAGATTATTTGTATACAGGTAATAATAATTAATTACGACGAACATTTCGATATAAATTTTTTTAATTTTGACTTAATTTCAACATAATTTTTTTTAATTTGCAACGGCTATAAGCGAAACCGACGCGCGAAGAGGGGATTGCGCTGAACGACCGACGTGGATTGGATCCGGGCCGCGCAATCTCCTTGCGTGCGTCGGCTTCACGGAAAAGGGGGGGTCAAGCTCAAGTGAGAGAATCTGGCCTTTCTTGTCTTTTTCTAGTGGGTATTTGGCAAATAAATTGGCATTTTTGGCTTTTTAGCTTTTCCCAATTGTTGTTGGAGGAGATATTTTAGCAATTTTTGCATTTTGGCTTAGTTGTTGGAGATGGTCTAAACTATAAAGAGACCAAAAGAGTCTGAAAGTGGGGATGACAACAAAAAAAACTCCATTTTTTAAAAAATTAATTTATTATGAGTCTCAAATTTGGTTTGGATATTAGTTTTGGTAGTTTCATATTTAACTTTATAGTTTGGGTCTAAAATAGATCTACGTTATTGATACCAAAAAATGAATACTCAATTGAAATGCAGTTTTTGCCTTTACTTTGTTTTGAAACAAAAACAAATGGGAAACACTAGCATTCAATGTGTGTATCGGGTTGAAAGCAAGTAATGAGATTGTCCATTTTGGATTTTTGTGAATACAATCATCTACTGAAAATGATACATTTAATAGGTCCAACTTAAATGAGTTTACCCAAATTGAACTCCATTTAAACCTTAAATCATTAAGAGTATATGTGTTCATTTAAATCCGATTCAAATGCCCATGTGAATTATGTCATTTTAATCAAATTATCCAATAAATCAACTCATTATCATTCTTGAAAGGATTAAGGGACGAGAATGTACTTTTTTTACTACAAAAAGTGAGAATGAGAACTGAGTGGTTGAGCTCACGAATCCACCTAAATTCACCCACAATTTACTAAAATAAGTGATCCACTAAAAAATTAGGGTGCGAATGGATTGTAGCTGATCAACGATCCACCCAACCTTTCAACCCCAAACTAGCAAAAATACTAGTCTCTACATAACAAATAATAAAACCATCAAAAACTCAAAAGTTACAAAGAATATCCTCTTATCAAAAGATCTCACAATATCTCCACTAGTCCTTCATTCCTCATTTTGAATGAATACCTTGTCAATATTATAGTTATTGAGAATGATTGCAAAGTCAATTTATTTTCCATGGCCAGAAACTATATATACATTACATTCTACCATCCGTCATTTCAATTCAAAGTCCTGTAAACCTAAATTTTTATTTTTGCCAAAGGACAAACAATGATCGGCGCTACGAAGATTAGACATAATCAGGTAATCGTATGTAGCTATGAGTTTATTTATGTGTTGGTTTGACTAAGCATTCAATTAGTTAGTTCTTGTTCGTTTGTGTCGTCTAATCGTCCAATAGTTGGCTCTTATTTGTTCGTTCTTTAAATTGCTATAAAACCCTTTGGATTGTGTGATCTTTTAAAATGTATGTTGTAATTCTAACCACCCATCATCCACGATCACTCAACCCACTCGTAAATACATGTTTTGGCTGAGTGTGATAATTTTCTCCTCCATCACAAAATCCAAACCCGACCCAAATCTCCATAAACCCGCGCACTACTCATTCATAAGAGAAATGAGGGTGGAAGGAGATAGTGAGAGTGGCGTGGAGATGTGCGAGTAATGAATCTGATGTGGATTTTTTACTTTCTGATTTAGCAATTAGTCACGGAGATAAGTATGTCAAAACTCAAAACCCGTAACAACCTTTTAGGGTTGAAGATCAGAAGCCTTGGTTGTTTTCATTGCATCCTCAGCTTATATAGATGGGCAGTTCACTTACAGACAGATTGAGAGAAGAAGACAAAGCTTGGGTCCTAAGCAAGTACAACTCAGAAATGGAAAGAAGTACAAATAACAAGTTTAGGGAGTTGTGGGTAATTTGTCAGAAACGACATCACTCCAGCTTCTCGGTTGAGTCCGTCGCAGCGAAACGATGTCGTCCGGTTTAGTTGCAGTGGACCTTGGCACAACAGCAGCGTTTGATTCAACGGTCGTCTTCTCCAACGATTCTAGGTTCAAATTTGGAGAAAACTGATTGTTTTTCCTGATAACTCGTACTAGTAGTTGTTGTTATCATATTCTATTTATTCTTTCTTCGGCAAACCGTCCCTGCCATCCCACTGGCAGTTTGGGGATTTGGTGACTTGTGTGCGGCAATGGAATCAACAACCTCACGTCGAATCGAATGGGAGTCGAGCCAAAATGGCGAGCATTGGTCGTGCGTGGGCGTCAGAGTTTGACCATTCGGGAAATTACCAATTCTGTGATGATGATAATGACCCTTTAGGAAAAGTTAAAGATGCTGTTTACTATCATTAATTTACCACTTACTCATTTTACTCTATCAAAAGAATTCAAAAGATTGGTCCTCATTTCTTTTTGCTTCTTTAGAGAATGAGACATTCAAAAGTAATTTATTTGTGCATCCTATTTTATATATGTGGCTATTATATTGCTAAACCAAAGTGAGCTAGCCATAGTTTAGAGCTAGGATGACCCGTACTAGTGTGGTGTATACTCATTGACTCTAGTCTTTCTTGCTTTGGTACGAAAGGAGTTATTTATCCACTTTAGGAAAGACAACTTCTGCATCAAATATTTACTAAAATCCTGTTTAACGCCCTAACTTTTTGAAATTTAACGCCCTAACCTTGCCAAAGAGACGATACTAACCCCACTCACTAAAACTGCAGCTGCTGCCCTCAATCCCTAATTTCCCTCTGCTACGCCCCTTGCCTAGCCCTTGCTCTGCCGTCGCACGGTCGCCGCCGCAAACTCGTGGGGGAAGAAAGGCTTCGACGCCGGCCTCCTCCTCTGCCGTCGCACAGCCGCCGTCACGAACCCTAGAAGGAAGAAGGGATTCGACGCCGCCCACCTCCTTTGTCGCCGCCCACCTCCTTTGTCGCCGCCCATCTTCAATCCAACGGCCGACACCACAATCGACCGGCGATGTACGAATGACCGACGAGAAGACCCAATCCTCTAATCCGCTCTGTGGAGGCAATCCTTCCATGGGTGAACGCACAAGAACTCGCGAGCGCAGCTTCCATTCCGCTAACCCATGCTCTGCTCCGCCCGTCGACGACACGAGGGATTTTTCTCCTACTGGGTTCTTCTCGGTCGAGGAAGGAGCCGGAAGGTCGTCGCCGACAACTCCCAGGGCGAACGACAATGACAGGGAAAAAATCCTAGGGAAAAATTTGATTAGAGTTGGAAATATTTTGAGGGCAAAAACGTCAAATAACCTAAGTTAGGGCGACAAATTTAAAAAATTTAGGCCGTAAATTAGTACCTCCCAATATTTAGCATCATTCATTAGTGCTTGTCGTTAACTTTTACATGATGATGAATTAGGTATCAGATCAATTTATTGTGGACTTTGCACAAAGCTATTGTTTGTTTGAAGATGGTTGAGGATCAAAATCATGAGGTTCATGGACTTTGACGGTCTAAATTCGTGGTCCCGTGGACTAGCAAATTTCATGTCAAGAAGTGGGATTCGTGACATGGTCATAAATCCATGATCTAATCAAGAAAGTCCACAATCAAATTCAATAAGCAAATAATAGACTCTTTCAAATACATAATGCCAACAAATTCATCATAAATCTACAATTTTCCAAAAACTCAATATTTACGAGGGGTCGTTTGCATGTTTCATTTACAAATGAGTCATTTGCTCAAATATAGATATTTGGGAGTGTAGGCATTTACAAATCTATTATTAGTTTAAAAGTTTTTAAATGAGTAATTTGTATAATGCTACGGTTTGACCATTACATTCAATATGTTTCGTTCTCTTGTTTTCTATTCTAATAAAACCAACAACACAAACACAATCATTTTGAAACCAACAAAACAGCTTATATGGATATGTGACATGTATCATAATATTTTCTAATTTTATATGATAATTTTATGCTAACTTTCTTTATAAAAAATAACTCCTCCATAAGTTTCAAATTTTAGGCTCATTAGAAATAACGATGTTTGTGAGCGAAAAAAATACACCACTAAGTAGATTTACCCTCTTCATCGCTTGTGCAATTTTGGAGAAAGAAACAAATAATTCGGAGAGAAAATGAAGCAATGAAATGGAAAATAAATAATTAAAAGGGGAGGATATACATTGGTTTAAAAAAATGGTATAGTTGAAAATTTTGGGCTAAATAATGAGTCATAGAAAATCATTCATGGAGAGGACAGAGGAGACATTTGAAAATGACTCGAGAGAGTCATTTTAGACTTTAGTGTGGACAAACTGACTCATGAATTTCTTAGGAAATGATGACTCAAGCAAACAAGCCTCAAAACCCTCATTATAGAAACTCAAAATTTATCAAAACCATCTCTCTTTTCCATTATAATCCATTCATTCCATTTAGTGATGGCAATGAGGCGGGGAGGGGGTGGCAGGTAGGTAGGTACCTCAATACTCATGCCTCCACACTACTGCGGGTCGGGGTAGATAATACCGCACATTTATAGGGCGGGGTGGATTGACCCACTTTTGAAAAAATAATTCACCCATAATTTTATATTTCACGATAAAATGAAGGGTAAAACACTTTATGAATGAAAAAAATTAATAATAAAATGGGCAATTGAGTCTAACTAGTTGAAAGATCGAGATCGAGATGAGCCAAGAATAGAACATGTCGTGACGAAAGTGGGGATCTATATCCCGCCCTATGGTACAGCGAAACAGATAATACCCGTCCAATTACATGCCAGGTCGGGTAATACTCTCGAAACAGATTCAAATTGTCATCACTAATTCTATTAACGTTAAATGTGTTGAAGTGATGTTGACCCTTGAGAGTTGAGACATCCAACCTGGACGGCCCATTTTTACCATGAGCCCAAATAAAAAATCCAACAGCATCGAGAGCTCTACAAGGAAGTGCAGCAGTTGCCGTTTGGTTTCACTCCTTCCGTCTGCCGATGCGACTACAAGGATGGGCTTTTTAACTCTGCCGATGCGGATCCGACTGCTCCAGCCCATCTCTTCCACCAGACGACCAGCCCGTTTTCTAGGAGAGCTTCCGTCCAGCCGGCGGTTTAGAGAAATCGCCCAAAACCAAAAGCAAGTTCTAGAAGTCTCCTCTTATCGTCTCATCATCAAAATTAAAACCCATCTCTCAGCTCTCCTCACTGTGAAAGCTAAACTAGGGTTTTATCTTCTCCTCAAATTCAATCCGCCCACCTAACCCTCTCTACTCTTTGCAAACCAGTCACTGCAGTTTTCAGGTAACGTAACATCTTCCTCTCGTTAATTGTACTCATGTTTCACATTTCGGATGCGAAATCCTGATGGGATTTTGCTGTTATGAGATTCAGGTAAGCATAGTAATGGCGGCCTCTCAGCTCACAGCATCTTCCATCTCGGTTTCGGCCAGGAACTTGGTTTCCTTCGAAGGCCTAAAACCTTCCGCGGTAAAGTTTGCATCTTTCGGGACATTGAAGTCCGGTGGCTTGTCCCAACGCTCGTTCCGGGGATTGGTTGTCCAAGCTGCCACTGTCGTCGCCCCTAAGGTAACTCGCATGGCTAATGTTTGGATTATTGATGTCTATATAAGGAATAGGTGGTGCCAATTATTCTGGTTATCGTCTTGTTTTCTGTTGTCAGTATTGTTGGAGGAAGCTATAATGTAGAAAAAATGACCTTGTTTGGAATTGAATTCTGCTTTCATCACTCTGCCGTTGGTATGGTTGAATCACTTAACCAGGGAATTAGGTTGTTCCTTTTTCTGTTATGGCAAATATGGTAATGTTTAATTCCTTGATTTTCCAGTATACTTCGATTAAGCCCCTGGGTGACAGAGTGTTGGTGAAGATAAAGACTGTGGAGGAGAAAACTGGTGGTGGGATTTTGCTCCCCTCTTCAGCACAGTCAAAGCCTCAAGGAGGCGAGGTTGTTGCTGTTGGAGAGGGCAAGTCAATTGGTAGCAAAACCTTGGACATTAGTGTCAAGGTATAAGCTTTCCCTTTTTTTCATTCCTACTCTACCTGGTCTATGCTGTGTCCTAGGAGTTTAGAGTATAACTAACTTGGTGGTTGCCTTGTTTAGACCGGTGCCAAGGTTGTCTATTCCAAGTACGCTGGTACTGAGGTTGAATTCGATGGTGAAAGCCATCTGATATTGAAGGAAGACGACATTGTCGGTATTCTTGAGACAGAAGACATCAAGGATCTCAAGCCCCTCAATGATAGAGTTTTCATCAAGGTGAAATTCTCCACATGTATATTTTGATAAATGCTCTTAACTGTGGTCGTATTGGCCCCAATTATATTGTGTAATTGTTTCAGAAGCAATTACAATTGACATTTGAGATACTGGTCCTTTCTATAGTGATGCCTTTAAAGCCGAAGAGCCACTTTGTAATTTCATCTCAATGTTCTTGGTGCCAGGTCGCTGTGGCTGAAGAGAAAACTGCTGGAGGTTTGTTGCTCACAGAGGCATCCAAAGAGAAGCCTTCCATTGGCTCGGTTAGTAGTAGAAACGCTGTGTGCCTGTTATTTGATAGATTATGCTTGTGGCTTAAGATCCTGACTTGCATTTGATTAAACAGGTGATAGCAGTTGGACCTGGACCTCTGGACGAGGAAGGTAACACGAAGCCTCTGTCTATCTCCCCTGGAAACACTGTGTTGTACTCCAAGTATGCAGGGAATGACTTCAAGGGCACTGATGGTTCCAACTACATTGCCCTTAGGGCTTCAGATGTGATGGCTGTCCTCTCGTAGTTTGGATTGTTCCTTTGTCTGGGTTAGATAGAGTGCTGGATGTACCTCCTGAATTTTGTGGGTTGAGAAATGGCATACACCAATTTGTAGCCTTAAATTGTAACCGGATTGTTGTGTTATGATCAAAGAACGGTCAAGTTATGAATAATGAAGGTATGCATGCTCGGAGTTCCCTCATTTTGTGACAAGTGTATATTTTTGCTCTCTGGCTTCTAGCTCATCACACAATTCCTGAAGGGAGGGCATGAATTCGGTCCAGGCCAAACATAAAACAAGTATAGGACTAAACGTGCCTAATCGTGAAACTTCAACATTGCTACCTCTCCATCATGTTCTGGGATTCTATCACCAAACCAACGAATCAATAAGAATGCAAGTTCTGGATTTGTGGTATCCAACAAGTGATTTTTGTAGGTGATGTTGGATAAAGTGGTAGTTAGTGATGGATAAAATGTCAGTGGGGGAGTGATCTTTAAAGAAATTCAGTTGTTATTACATTGTTTTCATCTCGTTTGTATTCGTTTTGTTGGTCGGTTGGAGAGTAGGGCGATGCATCTGGTGGTCAAAAAGTCCTTTCATTGTTCCTTAATTTGGTAAGATTTGATTTTTGTTCTTGGCTACGTGCAGTGATATAACTCTAGTGTACTTCCTTATTCTCGATAATACGAATCATCTTTTGCTAATAATAAAACCTGCCTAACAGCTTGTTGGGGTTCTTCACTTGGCTTCAGATGTGATGGATGTCATGTCCTCACGTAGTCTGGGGTAATGTAGAACGATTGCACTTCCTAAACTCTTCTTGTTCGAGTCTTTCTTCACTAGGGCCAAATTGGTGATAACACCATTCATGGCTTTCCTAGAAGTCCGATGCCCCCTAACAACGACAATGCATAGAAGTCAAATCCACACAAACAAGACCAGATCGTTTGATCCCCAACAAATGGTTGTGAATTGTTATAAACGCGCTGCTACAGATCGGGAAATTGCCGGAATCGATAAAGCAAAAATATGAAAGCGAAAATCGAAAAACACAGACACACAATTTACGTGGTTCACTAACACGATGTGTGTTAGCTAGTCCACGGGCGAGAGAGCTGATAAGGGAGTGACATGCTCGGACTACCTCCCACTTCTTTCTCCCCATATTGTTATTGTTAAACATTCTGTTGTTCTGTTTCCTTAGTTCACGTTAGTGGAGATTAGGAATAGCTGTTAGTGGGGAATAGGAATAGCTTTCTGTTAAGTATTTGCTGTATATATATCCATCAATAATATCAATACAGATCAGGCTTTCCTGAACATTTACATGGTATCAGAGCACTAATAAACTCAAACGAGTTACATACCTTTTCTGTCTTCTGCTGCTTCCTCCAATGGCTATTTCCTCCACCACATCTGACTCTTCTTCTCCGTCCATCCAACCTCCCTCTCCACCGCGCCTGCTGATTCCTTCAAATCCTCAACTCACTGTCAAGTTAAATCCTACCAATTATTTGCTATGGCGTGCTCAGATTCACCCTCTGCTTCGGTGTAACCGTCTCATCGGACACATCGATGGCACTCTCCCTTCTCCTCCCTTGACTGTCGAGAGTCAACCCAATCCAGCCTATGCCACCTGGTACGAGAATGATCAGCTCGTTCTTGCCTGGATTAATCTCTCGCTGACGGAAGCGGTGATGCCCACCATTGTCAACAAAACTACTGCTCGTGAGGCCTGGGATGCTCTCGCTACTGTCTATGCCTCGGGCTCTCCCGTCATCATCGGCCAGCTCCGCAAGAATCTCCTTCGTCTCTCTCGCGGCAATGAGACGATTCATGACTACATTCACCGCGCGAAAGGAATATATGACAAGATGCTCGCTCTCGGCGCTACTGTCACCGAACAAGAGCTGGTGATTGCTCTTCTCGATGGTCTCGACAAGGACTATCGCCCTTTCACTCGCAATTTGGAGGCGCGCCTGGAGCCCATCTCATTCGAGAACGTCAGCAGTCTTCTTTTAAGTGAGGAGATGCAACTTCAGCGTTTTCGGTCGGCGGCTGCAGAGATATCACCGCCACAGTCCTTTTATTCAGCCAGAGGGGGGGCGCACCGGCGACCGTTCTTTTCGTGGAAGGGGAGCGCGGTTTGGTGGCCGAGGGTTTTTTAACCCGAGCCGGTTTTCTAATCCCTCTTTTGCAGGTGGGCGGTCTAGCAATAGTGCACTTCGGCCTGCCTCTGTTGGTGTGTTGGGGGTTGGGCCTTCCAGCCTATCTTCCATGGTTTGTCATAATTGCGGGGGGAAGGGCCATATTCGCCCACACTGTCCAAGCCCATTTATCCCAGTCCAGTCCACGTACCATCCTGGCCCCGCCTCCCATCTTGCCCAATCCTTTCACCCTTCTTCATCCTCGCAACGATGGCTTCTTGACTCCGGTGCCAATCACCATCTTACTTCAGACTTAGGAAATCCGATTCATCATTCTGAATACACTGGTCCTGATCAAGTCACCTTTGGCAATGGTAAATGCTTACCCATCTCTCATTCTGGATCTTCTAATGGTCTTCTTTCTAATAATTCCTATATTCTTGATAATATACTTTGTGTCCAAAATGCTCCTAAGAATCTTCTTTCTGTAAGCTCTTTGACTCGTTCTAACCCCATCTCCATTGAATTTTTTTACACCTATTTTGTGATCAAAGATCGCCACACGAAGGATGAGCTTTATAGTGGTCTCGTGCGTGATGGCCTCTACTCACTTCCTCTTCATATCCAAAGCCGCACTCTTCCTCGTGCCTTCACTGCCTCTCTTGATCTCTGGCATCAACGGTTGGGCCACGCCAATCTCCGTGCTGTTAAACACTTATTGTCCACTCATTCAATAAAGTATCATGATAGTTCGGCTACTTTGTGACATGGTTGTTCTGTTAGTAAAATTCATAAACTGCCATTTCCATCTTTCCAATATCGTGCTTCTGCTCCTTTAGAACTTATTTGTAGTGATATTTGGGGTCCTGCTCCTATTTTATCATATGATGATCGTCAATCCTATTATGTCTTATTCTATGATCATTATAGTAAGTTTAGCTGGGTGTATTTTGTGCGCTATAAGTCTCAACTCCTCAATGTCTTCATCCAATTTCGCCAACTTGTTGAGAAATTTTTTGGTCTTCCTATAAAAAATTTTCAATCTGATTGGGGAGGTGAATATCAGGCCTTATCCTCCTATCTTACGGCCAATGGCATTACTCAACATTCTTCTTGTCCCTATAATCCCGAACAAAATGGTTGTGCCGAGCGGAAACATCGTCACATTGTTAATAATGGTCTCGCTATGTTACATCAAGCAAATGTTCCGCTCAAGTATTGGTCTCTTGCGTTTGATACTGCTTGTTATCTCATCAATCGCACTCCCACTCCTCTTCTTCAAAATCACTCTCCATTTCATACCTTGTTTAATAAATCCCCAGATCTTCAAAATCTCCGTGTCTTTGGCTGTTTATGTTATCCTTGGCTTCGTCCTCAGACTTCTCACAAACTTCAACCTCGTCCCACCCCTTGTGTTTTCTTGGGTTATAGTGGTCTCCATAAGGGTTATCAGTGTCTTGATCTCTCTATTGGCCGCATTTATGTCAGTCGTCATGTTCTCTTTGATGAGGCAGTGTTCCCTTACAAGGATACTCCCCTCGACCCATCTGCTACTATTTCCTCAGACCTTTTTCTCTCTGAGCCCATTACACTCCCCAGCCCATTACCTTTGGTTGACACCCACCCTCCCTTTTCGTCAGATTAGTGTTGTGGTATATGATCCACGATTGAACCTCTCCCAACAACTCGAGTTATTGGGACCAACTGGTTCTTGACATGGTATCAGAGCCTTTTGTAACCGAGAGGTCTTGTGTTCGATTCCCGGTGACCCCCATTTGTTAAGCACATGGTATTCTTGTCTTCAGACCTGTGCAAACTTCAAGCCCTTGTGAGTGGCTTTCGTTTGAGTCAGTTTCACTATATCGAGGAGATTACAGATTACAGAGGAGTATGAGAAGTATTTATAGTGCTTCTCCATGTGGGTCTAAACCTAATCCACTACAGCGAGACCCCCGACTACCAGTCGTAGCAGCTGATAGTCCGATTCAAGTCACATCAACATGAATAGAGGCTATCCTGGAGCTCAAGTTTTCTCCTAATTGTTTTTGTCCGTTCTTGTTATCTCTTGCTTCATCAATGCATCAAACCAAACAGAATCATGTATAAGTCGATGCATACATGATGAGACAGATTATATAACACCGGGAACATCTCATTCAACGCGATTCCAATGCTCGAACCAAACTTGTATAACATTGTAAAGACGTGACATGATAACAAGTAACAATGAAGTATTCACGACTCAAACAAACAAACCATAGTCGAACAAGAGCTTGGTCTAGTGGTAATACCACTAGTCTTGAATCTAGAGGTTCTAGTTTCGAATCCGTTAAGTAGTACCTATACTTCTTCCTTGGCACCCCATTCCAGATGAGATTACTGTCACTACCAGCAATGGAAGGTTTTGCAGTCTCCCTATATAGTAGAATTGTTTCCAATCCAAGATGATACTCACGTTCGATGCTACATCTCAAAATGAACTACCCATTAATATAATTTTTTTTATCTAGGCCATCCAAATTGAACCAGCTTCAGAGAAACCGTCCCATACATTTCTTAAAAGTATATAATACAAGCTTTGAGTGTTAGTTGAACAACATAGAAGCAACATATCGTATTGCTTTGAGGGTCGAAGGACCTACTGGTTGGTTCAGCCAAGAACCGGAAAATCGAATAAAGGTCCAGAAACAAAATTCCTTATACACAAATCCCTTCTTTTTAAGGTCTAGTTAGGAATTTCCAAGCGCTTCTCATACTATTCTTATCCACATTCCATAAAAATTCATTGCAAGCTATCTCAACTTATTTTAAAACATTCTGTGGCAGTTAAAACAAATTCATCCAGAAACAAAATTCCTTATACACAAATCCCTTCTTTTTAAGGTCTAGTTAGGAATTTCCAAGCAATCTACTTCTCATACTATTCTCATCCACATTCCATAAAAATTCATTGCAAGCTATCTCAACTTATTTTAAAACATTCTGTGGCAGTAAAAACAAATTCATACAAAACTAATATATACTTGTTATAACTGAAGAAACTAACTGAATTTACTTGCATAACTCAATAGCTTGTGGCACCAACATCTCAATCTTTTTGTAATTTTATCAACAAGCACCTGACAATCTCGAGAGGTAAGCTTGCCTAAAAATAATGGGACTCCAAGATAGTTGATTGGAATCCCCCCACAGGGAAACCTGTAAAAAACATATATGATTATGCCACCACTAAACATTTGACTCTATGTAGGGTTACACTAAAGAATCGACAGAGTGTATAACTGATACAATAATATTTTAATTTATGACACTACTCGCACATATTCATTTGAGAACACTAGGAGGTCATCTGCGAAACACAATGCGAACTTTCTAGAGCTTTATATTGAGGATGAAATGGAATTTGTTATGTTTTACTAACCTGTAACGACTTGTAACTACAAATATATAGGTAGATAAAGGAGATGTCACATGTTTACCACGTCCAGTGGCGTAGCCAGACTTTGAGTACATTGGGGTCCCTAAAAATTCAATAACACCATATAACCTTTGTATCTAATGAACTGAGTTGATTGGGGTCCTTAGGTTAACTAACATCGACGAGAGTATGGGGTTCTAAACTTAAAAGATCGTATTTAACCTATGTATTTAAAGGGAATTTGTTGTCCCATTTTTGTCAAGTGGGGTCCTAAGACCCCACTCCTCTCCACCTTCCTCCGCCACTGACCACGTCCCTGGAATGTGAAAGAATCTGATGTCAATATCACAACTGACAGCATCTGGCAGTTATGTGGTATTTGGTCCTATAGATGTGAAGGTGTATCAAAGCTTACAACCAACTTCTGATTCGATCATGCGAAGACAGAAGTTGGAGTCTGTTTATGTAATGTTAGCAGAGGTTGCTGCTTATGTTCACAAGACAAGAAGGAATGAGACATCAAGCTTATGGCATGCTCGTCTAGAAGTTGGCTATAAGAAGTTTAGAGGGATGATGAAGAATTCCATGCTCAAAAGACTTACTCAACTTGATATCTGTGAAGTTATCGTATGTGTTGGATGTCAGTATAGAAAAGCTCATAAGCTACCCTATGAAGACTCAAAATTTAAGTATAAATTGTCTATGGAACCTGTCCATTCAGACGTGTTTAGACCTGTGAAGAAAACATGTGTCTGGAATGAAGTACCCGGTTACTTTCATTGATGATTTCTCAAGATATGTTCGGGTTGACTTCATTAAACAAAAACCAGAGGCATTTGAAAAGTTTAAAATGTTCAAGGAACTTTTTGAATGCTTAGTCTGTTAGACGATCAAGTGTCTACATACTACAATGGAGGATAGTACACCTTAATCATATTCACACAATTTCTCAAGGAGTACCGACTATTACGTCAGTTGACCTTCCCAAGTACTCCAGAACAAAATGTAGTATGCTACACGTAAAAAATATTCCTGCTAAGTTTTGGACATAAATACATAATGTATGAAGACTTTTGCTCATTTCATCAAGACGTCAATAGATTACCTAAGCCTAAGTTAGGGTTTGTGTCACACTATGAGAAGTTATGGAAGTTGAAGCCCAATGTCACCCATTTCTCAGTATTTGGTTGTGCTGCGTGTTTGTACCAGACCATGATCAAAGCAAGTTTGAAAAAAGTGGTCTGGTGCATTTTTGTCGGCTATGAAAACCAACAAAAAGGATGGAGATGTTGTGACCCGAAAACAAGCAACCGTTATGTGTCACGCAACATGGTGTTCGATGAAGCATCCTCTTGGTGGTCAAAAGAAGGAGTCCTACTTCCCGACTGTTATGGGTCTATTCAGATGGTTTATTTTTTAAACTGAGGTTAGAGGTGCTGTGAAGTAACTATCCTAACTGTCACATGTGATCCACTACACACGACATCATCAAAGAAACATGCCGCCCTTTATAATTGCACCATCCCTGGTGAGCTACCAATGACCCCTGGCCCCCTTCCACATTGGTCTGTACCCCGCATATAAGAACCGCCAACCAGTCTTGAACCTGCAACCTATATGAGTGTTCCAATAGTGAGATACGAATATTTTTAAACTCAAACACCACCAAGTTTCTTGCCTTCTATATATACCAAAGTAATGCCAGAATCAGGATTATATGTTTAGCATATGGGTCTCGATCCAAAACTCGACATTGAAAAATTGTGAAATTCTCTACCGTCAGACCTACATCATGGGTTGCAAACCATAAGATTGCAAAAGGACGCCTACCAGTAATAAAGAAATAAACAAATGTTCCATCGTCTCTTTCTCTACCCAGCACACTGGACACCTGACCAACACTTCAATCACTTCTCCAACAACGTCTTTGTGTTGGAAAAAATGCAACAGAAGAATTTCCAAAGGAAGAATCGAAGCTTGAGGGTCATTGGGTAAGACCAAACATTCACCTAGAAACTTCTGTATGTCTAGCTCACTTCTCTTTTCCGTTTTCCCCAAGCCCGATTCAATCGCACTGCAATCAAAGCTTGAACATCCCTACCTGCTTCACAACATCTCGATTCCTTGCCTCGCCATCTTTATCTTCTTGTTGAATAGGAGCAAAAACGTGAATCCAAGGAATATCATTATTCAATAGATTAAGGCACTCTTCTTGATCCTCTACCCTCTTAGCTGACTCATCAAAGCCTTGTATAGGGTTGGAATTAGAAATATAAAGGTGTGGAATTTGCTTATCTAAAGGTGCTTTCTTACTTTAATCATGAAGCTCTCAAATTATAGTTCACATTTTCTTTTTGGCTTTGGAGGTAGAGAGGAGAGAGCTCTCTCATTGGCCTCAATTTTCATCATTATTCTCTCACTCGTCACCATCATACGTTCCATAGAAAGATCCACCTTGGAAGTTTCCATGGGTTGTGAAAGATGTTCTTCTTGAAATGGTGGGGAACTTGGTAACCATGGAAGTTCGGTTAATGATCATAAAGACGACTTATTGACTTGCTAAAACCAACACACTAAGAAGTAGCCAAGTGCACCTACGACTTAGGATGCAATATAGTGGTTCTAAGCTTATATGTCAATCCGGGGCCCTAGAATTACTATTACTCGGTGATTTATGCAGTTATCTAGTGTTTGAATTGTAGTGAATATTATTAAGGGAAAAAACCTAAACAACGTGGATTGATTCAAATACAAAAGCCACTCAAGTATGTGTGCCCCTGGCCAGTAGTTAGGTCTAGTGGTAATCTCTTTAATTCATTTCCATTGACATTTGGACTGCAGAAACTTCTTAGATAGTCTGAAATCTCGACTGAAGTAATCCAAACCTTCTTGAATAGTGTACCAGGAGGGAAATTATCCTCACAGAATAAATTACCAAGGCAATTCAATTAAACTTCCACTACTGGGTTTTGAATGCAGTACAGAGCAATGAATCAATTCACTACTTCAAATTTAGGATACTTTATCAACCTAATCATATTTTATCTCTCTTAGGTTAAAGCATAAATCGAAAAAATGTGACCAGGACTCAATGAATCCCACATCGACAAAGCACGGGAGAGATCAATGGTTCATAAGGAGGAAACCGACCTTAACTGACAAGACGCGTTTTGGGGTGTAATGGAGGAGTTCTTGTGAGAACTTTGAAGTTAAACGTGCTCAGTGTGGAGTACAACAAGGATGGGTGACCTTATGGGAAGTCACCTTGAATTGCACCCCAAGTTGAAATCCGTGCGGGTGTAGAGGCCCAAAGCGGACAGTATCTTGTCGGAAAAAGGTTCGGGATGTTACATCATGCCTCTCTCTACATCTTCACCACATTTTTTCATCCCTCTTGGATGCCTTCTTTGTGAAAACTATGCTCCAAGTAGTTATACCCGCGTGGACTGGAAATATCACCGTCGGGGATCACAGTCGTGATCTTTGATTTGGTCGTGTTCTTTGGCGAAGGGAAAGATCACGATCATGATCTTTGCTTCCAGCTATGATCTCCAAGATTACGCCCAACATTCCCCAAATTCATAACCAACACTTTGATCGTGATGTATTTCTCTGTTACCGTGATTTCTGTTGTTTCCTCTTCTTTGCAAGCCTCAAATAACCACCGAAAACATTACTAATTAGCTACGCATAGTACAACATCAAGCTAAATAATCCATGATTAGTTTAACAACTATGGTCCTTTACCAAATCTGTCCAAAGTATTTGGGTTCTCCCCACTATTGTAGTCTTGGAAAGAAAACTTTGAAGAATAGAAAATCCATAGAAAAAGGAAGGGGCCGGAGGAGGTAGAAATGGAACATCATATAATTGGCACAACCCACCACCATACATGAAAAGGACACGCTTCCACCGACACATATGCCTTGCCTATCGATGTTGGCTTAGGTAAAGAGCAAAATTCATGAACATTGAACCATCCATTCCATAATATATATATTATTGAATTGATTGATGAGGCCTAACCTCCAATTTCACCAATTATTGTTCGAGACAAAATTTCCCATTCTCACATCACCATTATCATTATGCTGCCTCATTAATATTTATAAAAAATTATAAAATATTCGACACCCTCCAATAATACTAATTAATGCAAATACGTACCAATATTAATACGAAAGAGATCCACCATCCTTCCAACTTGAGATCTTCACTGCCGGCCGGCGTCATTGCACACCATACAATTTCGATGACAATAACATCATAATATGTATCCCCCCAACCACCTAATATCCTGTGGGCTATGCTAATGCCATGCATGCAGAAGAAGAAATTTCTGCCGTGGGGTACATGGAATTACTGCTATACGAGGCATAACTGAACGTTTCTCAACAATTTGAGTTATTGGAAGCAATCGGTTCTTGACATGGTATATGTGAGAGGCGCTTTTGTGATCGAGTGGTGTTTCTGTTGGAATTCCAATGAATTCATTTATTAAACACATGATATTTGGACATATGCAAATTTCAAAACCGTATATATGATGGTTTTCAACGCAATGGGGGTGTGTTCGTAAGAGGTATCTGATATCCATAATTGAACATCTCCCAACAACAACTTTAGAATTGTTTGGGAACAATTGGTTTTCTTTACACCCTTCCTCAAATCAAACTCTCGGACCATCACCATCTTTCAATTGATACCGAAGACGGTAACGATATGACGTTTTGTACTAAAATCGCGTGTGAATCGTTTCGTACCATTAAAAATCACTTTCCATTCGAATCCCGGTATCTGATATTTCCTATCCGAACATGGCAAAAAAAACATTTTCAGTTCCTAACGGGTGGGCTTTGATATTATTTTACCCTATAGATTGGTGGTGGTTCCAACAAGAATTACGGTTTGATAGTACATGCTTCAAATACTGTCGGCAGGGGCATTCACCACTTGCTGCAAACCCTAGTCAATACTTAAATGCAATCATGCAGTGAGTCTCTTTTCCAAAAAGAAAATTCAAAGATCATATATAGAAGAGAGTGAGAGCCAAAAACAAACCAGGAATTGGTAAAGAAAAGGGTGGGATTTTGGGTCCAGTGGCCTGGTTTGCAATTTTTATACTAGTCTTTCTTTATGGGCCGACAGGCAATATATAGAATGATGAGAGGAAGAATCCAATCACAAAATAATCAAAAGGATCCAATGGAAGCTGTTGGCGCCATCTCCTTTTCCCCTCGCGGCAATTTCCTGCCGGCTTCCCCAAGTTCAGTTTTGTTGGCCAATTTAAATCTTCATTAAATTCCACATCTTATTAGTTATTAACCCCAGTGAAAATTTTAGTGGTTAAGCATTATACATGAACTTAATTATTTATCGTATTATATATATATTTCACTACCTGTAGTGATCTTATACTGCTGAAGTTATTTTGGGTTTCAATGCAAGCAAAGATTACCCCAAGTTTTATAATTTATTGCCCACCGCGATCAAATTGACATGTTTTCCTTTTTTTTAAGCAATTAATTGAATTTTGAGATGGAGCAGGCAAGCAATTGCTGAGATTAGCCTGTCCCATATGATACACGACAATAATAAAGACGGTGAGATGTAGCCATGTCAACTACATATACAATATACGAAGAAAATAAGCCAACCAACTTAAACATTTTTTATAATTATCAAAATCAAACACATAAACAAATAAAAGAAACACACTAATAAGGGGAGAGCAAATGGTTCGCCATATCGTGCCAAATCATGAGGTAATTAAGATTGCAAGAAAAGACCTAACAAAATAAGAGGCGCATGCAAGTGGAATGGCGTCGGTTCGATGGTAGGATATCACATTCCTTACTTGTTTTTTGTACTATTATTATTTTTATTTATGCTTGAGGTGTTTCATGGTGTTGGGCAGTCTCACCATAGTAATTAGACAATTTTATAACAATCATTATTATGGAGTCTTATCGTAGTGTAGATTTACAAGATAATATCTGTTTTAATTTCTTTTAGCAAAAAGATTACCAAAGAGATTTAGGTAATCTTACTATAATCATATGACAATGATAGAATGGTGTTGTGCAGTTTTATCATAATGATATGACATGAATATGACCGTGTGAGATAGTATCACTATGATAATATCGTGATATTGATGTGCATGTATGTAGTGCTATTAATGAAATCAAACTAATAAAATTCCTAGATACGTATAAGGTCGTATTCCACAAAGTATTCTAATAATAACTAATCCCAACTAGGGGTGGTACTTGGTTTTTCAGTTAAAGATTTAAACGGTTACCGTACCGATAACCGACGGTAATAAGTTAAACCGTTAACCGGCGGTTACAATATATGGTAGTGAAAATCCATTTGTCGGTATATCGACTTCCAACTGGTTAGTAACCGGAGGTAAATCGGTAATACTGAATAACCGAATGTATAGTATATCCGCCACCTCCTCTATTCTTGACCTCCTCGCTTTGTTCCCTTCGCTCATCCGCCTCCCTCTCCTGATCTACTGCCACAATGCCAAACTCTGAATCCATTCTTCCTCTTTTTGCCAAACCTCCCTCCACCTCTTCCTTCCCAAGCAATCAATCGTCGATTCTGCTTCTTCTCCTCCCAAACATACAATCGCCGCTTGTGAGTTCGACCGCCTGCAGAGATGGTGCGTCCACGAATCTCCCTCGTCGATTGAAAATCCAGCAGATTGAAAAAGTCTCTGCATTCACGGTCCACCCACAAAAATCAATTCAATCCTTGGATTAAACGGATTATATTGGATTGAGTTTCTAAATTATTAGATTTTCAATCGAATTCTAACACTAGAGGAGGTAGGGGAGAGATAAACCCACCTGACGACCCAAGTGAGGAGAGAGGCGAGGGAGCCATCGTGGCGGAAGTAAGTGATGATTTATGAGATCTCGTGACGGCCCAACAACCAAGCAGAGTCTCAGTCATGACGGACCCGACCGAGTCTCCTACGCCGCATCGCGAGTCGTGACCTCATTCCAAGTCAGAATCAACAATCTCCTCACCCACCGCCATCGAACCACCATAGCTCGTCAGGTGACATGCACCATACCCCGATCAACCTCAACAGCCTTCATCAACCTACCAGCGACCTGGACCCCATATGGATCGATTTTGTATTCCGCTAGATTTGATCATCATGGTTGTGGAGAGAAGTTCCACAGATGATGTCATTGCAGTAGGACGCGATGAGGGCGGATATTCTCGCCAGAAAGAGGGAGAGGAACAATGGATGTTGTGGTGGAGGTTGATTGTTCGAGGGAAAAGGAGATGAGGGGATGGTAGGGGTGACTAGAGAAAAGAAGTGGGTGTGGTCACGCAGACATATGCATATGCAAAGGGTGTTAACCGGTTAGCCGATTTCCTACCGATTACGATAGTCGATGGTGGTGTGGAACGAAATGGTATACCAATTACCGTCTAACCAGTTACTGGTTAAACCGGTTATTGGCTGACTACCACCCCTAATCACAACCAATCATCTAATTCTAAAACAAAGATACAACATAAATTGATGGTTGAGACTCCCTATGCTTAGTGATTTTCGAGATATAACATAAACTAAATGACAAGATAAGTAAAGGATATGAAATTGATAAGAAAGCTCATCCTAAATGATCGTACATCTTAATCTCAATAATGGTACGCATCAATGCATCTTCTATCATGAAACACTACCCCTTCCAAAAAAGGATTCATAATCGAGCTTTCCCCCGAGAAAATGACCTATAACTAGCTAGTGTGTGATTTCTCTTCATGTCATTAGACTAATCAATTAAATAAGGATAGAACATTAACTATTTTAGGGCCTCTATGAACCATAGTAATGGTTTGTGGCATTGATGATCTAAGGTATCAAGCATTAAATTCGTACATTACACTTCATACACGCATAAGACAATGGCACATCACATAAGAATAGTTTCCTGACAACTTATAATGATATTATAAGGAGTACAATAGCACATAATAGATTATATAAGCATCGCATGGTTACGAATCAAACAACTAAAGCAGTCGAATCATACAAGCATCACATGACTAAAGCATCAATTGATATAGGTATCGAAGGATATAAACGAATAATCACCAAATCATCTCCTTAAATCATAAAAAGAAGATGCATAAAGTATCAATAGAATTCACATACAATGAAATTGAAAAAATTGTATATAAGGGAGAATGATTGTACCACCACACCATCGATGATGAAGGCATCTCCTTACTTGCACCCTCTTATGAATGCTATTTTGAACTCGCTCGAGCCAAGTGGCTCATTGCTCGAGTTATACACAGTGATTTGAGCAAAGTTTGCACCTTCCTTAATTCAATAAACTAACTCTTTATTTGTAGTCGAGGGAATGAGGGATGTGTAGGTTTGTTCCTCCTATAACTCGGCCAAAAGTGTCTTGATACCAGTAAAACTCTTATTTCTTGACATGGGGATGAATAAAGGAATATTTTCCGAGCTACCATGGGCTTGGGCTTTCGGGGGTCGAGAGGCAATAAGAGCCACCATGGATCTTGCTCCTGATTCAGCTTGTTTGTCCCAAAAGTAATCTTCCCATAGATTTTCAAAGTGACTTGTTGGGTTTGGACCAGCGGTGGTTGGCACCATCACATGGCCGCCGCATGTTTCTTTGCACGCTTGGGGTGAAATTTCTCTAGTAGACTCCTCTTGGGCTTCCATGACGACTTCATGAATATTTCCCCTCCGTTAGGCCTCGTTTAATGGACGAACCATCTTTGATTTCTAATTACTTTTGATCGTCCAACTTGATCCAAGTCATCCTAGAGTGTGCTTGACATTGAAAAGCACAAAATAATACAAAAATAAAATGATATTAAAAATCACAACCTAAGTCTACTATAAGCACATTGATCAAATAATTATGATTTTTATTAATTATCTCGTTAACTTGTGTTCTTTTTCTTTCCCTCTATTAACAACTTTCCAACAAGCAAACATTGAAAGTTAATATAATATTGGGATAGACTAAATTATCTTATTTAGATCTTAATTTCAGTTATCAATTGGTATGATAGAATATAAATTTGATGACCAACACATACTAAATTATTATAGATCTTTTTATTTACATTATACTGGTACATTGTAAATTTTTTTTATTCTCGGCCCTCCCCTACACTAAAATCCTGGCTCCGGCCTTAGATGATAATATGGAGTATTACCATATTGTTATTATGTGGGTGTCATATTTGTTAATAGTATAAAGTCTTATATTTTACCAAAGAAATATGATGAAACTCTCATAGTTTGATGGCATTATATCAGTAAGATAATAACATGATATGACAATTCTACAAGGTTGTCAAACCGGTTTAAGTCATTGAGTAGGTCAAGCAAGGGGTTTGGGGTTTAATGGTCTGATCGAGGTCCGACCGGTTTGAGCCGTTTTAGACGTTTTCTAAATATATATACAAAATAAGATAGTAATTAAAAATTTAATGACTGAAATGAAATTTATCTTACATATTTATATTAAAAACTTATTTCCAAAAAATAAATCTTATAACCTTCATGACCCACCCACCATCTCCCTTCCTTCGTTCATCTTCCTCTCTTCCCCATCTCTTCTTCTCCCTCTTTAAGGGTCAGATCGAGGAGCTTTCTGTAAGCCGTTTTAAAGCCCAAATTAGGTCGATAGGGGGTTTAACAACCTTGCAATTCTATATAGCACAATGAATACCATTATGTATATCAAAACTAATGTATATTTCCTATGCAAAAACTTTAAATTTCAAATTAAAACGATAGATATCTCATCCGATTAAATAGGATTTAAATGGTCAAAATTTTCTTCTAAGATTCGTGTCATGCAAACGGAGAAATTATAAAAGATGAAGAACTTACCATACTACCCTCATTATCCCTTATTAATTTTAAGTCATTGGATAGGATTGATGGACGACGACTTCGAATTTTGATTTTATAGAATTTTGTAAATGTTGTTCAACCTTCCTCCAAAAGTGGAAAGCGTAAAACCATTGCCGGCCACTCACTAATTAACTTAATTAGCCAACTCTCTCATAACTAAATAGAACACGATCTTAAGAAGAGACAACTCACGTATATGAGGAATTTGAAAGGGCAAAAACGAGTTCATTGACTTTTGTCCTTACGAGCTCTACATGAGTTACGATTAGTTGGAATTTCCTATCAAGGTGGGACTTATTAAGAACCGACAAGCAAAAGAAAACAAAGCATATAGAGAAAGGTTTGGTGGTTACAATTGCTTTTCCAACCCATCCGTGTTGTTAATGATCTCTATGTGTACTTAACTTTGCCCATTTGCATGCTTGGCTACTGTAATTGTTTTCCCGACGAGAAAAACTAGATGAACAGAATTGGATTTTGCACCTTTTTGACTTCCAAACAAACGATTAACAAACACGGTCCACACCTCTTTGAACAAAGTTCAAACAAGGGTGTTCGATGTTCTTGGTGATCTACGAGGCAAACTAAATTACATTAATTCTACTCCTATGGAGGTTCAACGAGAGCTCCGAAACTACAACTATGGCTACATTTGCAGAGGAAAAGGTAAAGATAAAAGGATAAAATTTGACAATAGGTTGTCTGGTGTGATTTTGGCGAACCCTCTCTCTGTCATCTTCACCTCCTATTTATAGCCACCAGAAGTAACTGCTTCGAGAAACTGCTCTGCTGACGTGGAGTGGCGGTTACCCTCTCAACTGCTTCGACAGTTACCTTGACTTTGTATGTAGACCAATCTTGGCCTCTCCTCTTGAGACCTCACTCCATGCTCTTGGTATCTCCTCCGTAGCTTTGCTTGTCTATAGAGAAAAAATGACTAAGGCATGAGAGCATACCACGTGCCCCATATGGGTGGGTACTCGAATCACTTGAGTAAAAAATGATTTAAATACTTCACCATTACGGGAGTAGGGAGACCACGTGCCCAACTGACCCCCCTTGACCATCTCATGAGGGTGGTGCCTTGGTAGCCCCCCTGGCAACCTCATGGGGGCGATGTTGACCACGCCCCTTGGCCATACCATGGGTGTGTACGTTGGTGACCCACTGACCATACCACAGGGGGTGGATATTAATCACCGCCCTGATCATATCATAGGGATTGCATGCTCATGGGGGGGTGTGTTGATGGCCACCCCCCTGATCATCTCATGGGGGGTTCTCCTTGCCATCCTTGGTGATCACCCTGGGGGTTGGTAGTATGACCCCCTCACTACATCCCGAGTCACCCCCTTACCACGTCATGGGGGTGACACTATGGTACCCACCCCCTTGGTACCTTCTGGGGGTGGCAGTATGATGCCCACCCCCCTCATCACGTCCTGGGGGTGGTATGATGGTGGCCACCCCCCTTTGTACCTCCTGGGGGTGGCTACCATACTCCTTGCCTTAGCCAAATTCGGCCACCCCTTACCACGCACCTCCTGGGGGTGTCAGTATGTTGCCCACCCCCCTTACCACGTACCTCCTGGGGGTGGCAGTATGATGCCCACCCCCAGGGTGTCATGGGGGTGGCTCTCATACTTAGCCAAATTTGGAGAAACATGGCGGGTGTGGTGGCACAGAGTAATGGGCCCAAAAAACCCAATCTCTATGGCCCACTCAACTGATTTAAACTAATATGGTTAAATTGGCTTTATAAAGCCACTTAATTCCTTGTTTTAAACCGATGTGGTATAAGGTTAATTTTTATGGGTAAACAGTAATCAACTAATGTGATATAATGTAACATTTATTTTTCAATTCAATTTATTGGCTTCTACTACTTTACAATGACAAAAATATCTCTACCGCGTCCTAGTAACGTTCAAGATCAATTGGTTTATGACTAAAGCACTTGAAATTAGAGGTTTGTATAGATGATGAGCCCAATAAGTATTTGTTTAAAGGGAACATGTAACGGGTCTAGGCAAGTTTTGATGCGATTTGGCCGTGCGTGGAGAGGAAGAACCCTAATCGGAGGGAAGTAATTCCCCGACCGGGGAATGGGAGAGTGGATTGGGGTTCAGGGGCAGCGGGTGGTGGATTAAAATTTTCGATTGGGGATATGCAGGGTCCGATTGGAAATTAGGCCTGGGTGAAGGGATTTTGAATTTGTGAGTTATTTTTATTACTTTAATTGTCAAGGCCTATACAAAGGCTAAAACTCGGGTTTTAGGGCTAGTTTTTGGTAGAATATTGAATTTTATCTTGGTTTTGAGCTTTAGACTTGAACTTTTCTCTCTATCAGTCAAGTTTTAGAGTCTTCTCCCAATTTCGTGTTGAGATTGCACTTTCAATTCCACTCTATCACAAACAAACAAAAACCCCTAAAAAAATCTCTTTTCTTGTTCATTCTTGAAGCTGCGCCACTTTGATCAAAAGAACCTAAGCTTTCACTAGCTCGGGATCTTATAAGGTGGCATCAGAGCCTGATTCAACACAGTGGCAAGATCGAAGGCAAGAGGACATGTTTCTTCTCGTACGAGGTCTAAAGATCCCATAGCACACCGCAGATCAGAAGAGGAATCGTGGGCCGAGGAAGAAATCCCTATTGAAGAACCCACAATGGCCGAGTAGCAGGTTAATTTGTCAAACTGTTGCATACCAACATAGATCAATTGAACGCAACCTTCCAAGTTTAATTCGACCAGATTAACAAGCGGCTGGATACTCTTGCACCTCTGAACAACGTGGCCCCGTTGGGAGCTCTAGCAGGACTCCATCTGATTCTAGAGGGAGATCGACAGCATTGCGTTTCGACTGGAACAACCAAGCCCTAGATGAAAGACTTCGCAACCTGACGCGGAGATTGATCACAACAGAGCCCAATCGAGTGCATGAAGAACACGACGTTCGTGATTATGGTGGAAGACCACCAAAGCCGGGACGCGAAGGTGCCATGCAGAATTACGCGGAAACAAGCTGTGAATTCACTAATTATGCAGTCGTATGGTGGGAGCAGGTACAACTCAAGAGAGAAGGAATCAGCAACCAAATGTGACAACTTGGATTGAATTGAGAGGGCTCGTGAGAGAGGTTCGTGCCAGAATACTACCAAAGAGAACTCTTTGATTCCTTACATGGAATTCAGCTGGGAGCACGATATGTTGAGGAGTATTTCCAAGAGCTTGAACTGCTCTTGATGAGGGCAGATGTGAGGGAGGACAAGAAAGCAACGATTGCTCGCTTCTTACATGGGCTCAACCCAAGAGATCAAGCACGAAGTCGAGCTTCGTCGGTTTGTGGAGCTTGAGAGCGTGGTACACCTAGCCATTAAGCTGGAGAAGAAGATGAAGTGAGCTCGGGAAGAAGGTACCCGCCTTCGCCCAAATCATTTGCAGAGGGCCTTCTTGATGCCAATGTGAATCACTCTAGGCCAGGGGGTGACAAGCCAGCGTCTAGAAATACGACCCCCCCCCCCCCCCCCCCCCCCCCCCCCCCCCGCGTCATCCAAGGCAGAAATGAATGATCAACTAGAAGCATCCAACAGTTCAGGTGCTTGGGACGAGGTCACAAAGACAACCAGTGCCCCAACAAGAAGGCTATGGTCTTGCGAGATGGGGAAAACTTTTCTGAGGATGAATATGAAAAGAAGCCCATGGGGAATGGATTTAGTTCTGACTCTGATTCTGAAGATGATGATGATGATGTGGATGAGCACATCAAGGTTGAAAAACCTCCAATAAGTAAACTTCTTGGAGTGAACCACAGAGTTTTATCTATTAAGGCTTACACAGAGACAGAGTAGAAGGATAATCTTTTCCACTCTCGTTGCCTGGTCGACACAAATGGTGGACAATCCAAATACATTGAGTTTTCCATTGAACTTAGTTGTGACAAAATTCAGCTTGTTAGGGTCCATGATTCCACTGAACAAGCTCCAAACAAACATAAGCAACAACTCAAATATATTTTTTTACTATATATAGAGGAGTAACACGAGAACTTTTGAAAAAGATCATCCATCTCAATGTTGTTCTTGTCCAAACACGTTCAATTTCAAATTGATAACATACGCGACACCGAGATTTGAACGTGATTTCACTGAAGATCAAACATTAGTCCATGAGAGAGACTTTATTGTACAAGAGTTCACTAATTTTGACTTGAACCTTTGCACAACAATTACCAACAATATATAGGCTTGCTCCGACAAACCCTAAGTACAGCTCGAATTGGTTAATTACAAAAAGGTACCCAATTTATCAAATTGGTGTTCCAAATCCCATCCTCCAAATGCCAACCTGTAAACCATAAATTAGTTGTTTGCAGTTAATGAAGCCATTGTATCCTGTTAATTACTACTACTCGAGGGATTGATCCTCCTCCAAAGTAGTACTTGTGATTTGTGAAGCAGTTGTTATATATGGATCCCATCTTGGATCTCAGGATCAAATCCCATCTGCAA